AGTGTCCATTCCTTTAAAAGGAAGACATGCCACCAGTTTAAGGATACTAGGTTAATAACTAATCTTTTAAATTTGTTACAATTTCATTTATGTCTGATATCCTTTATACCTTGAGAATAAAGAAACAATGTCTGTTACAAGATCATTATTGGTGTATGTATGATTTGTCTTTGAAGCCATTTTTCTTTAGTATAATTATTCATTTCCAATTTAAAAATCTTTCAGGTCATTAAAATGACATTTTATAAATGAGAATTGCTGACTTGGTATTTATATGATGAATATTGGCTTCATTGTCCTTTGAAAAATCTTTCTTCACTCATTCTCTGTTCCATAATTACCACATTATGTTACGGATTTCCGGAGCGTCTTTTTACCACAGAACACCACAGAATACCACAGAACACCTAAAATATACCACAGAACTTCACAAAATACAATAAAACTACTAAAATATACCACAGAACATTGAATTAATTTACAAAATGCAAAACTAATAATTCAGAATTATATCATTTTTATAATTCGGGCTACACTAATGACAGGACGATTGACCGGATGGGATATAAATTTCTTTAATGATCATAACTTTTTTTGTTATTTGGTTTTTTTTTTTATATTTGGAGACCTTTGAGATACTAAACTATATTTTATAAAAATCTTTTAAAAACAATTTATTGTAATAAAAAAAAAATTTCTATAAGAAAAAATGATTTTCTATAAATAAAAGTTTTTCTATAAAAAAAAAAAAATGATTTTCTATAAGTAAATGTTTTTCTATATAAAAAAAATGCTTTTTGTATTTAAAAAAAAATTTTCTATAAAAAAAAGTTGACATGATGAATTTTACCGGCGCCAATTGCACTATTAAGATTAAGTTTGTTCTCCCAATTCTGTTAATAAATTTCAAAATAATCAACTATTTACAAAATTGTCAATAGATTGAATTCTAATTGCCATCTGATTATGCAATGTATAACTCAATTAAATGGTTTATTCCTCCTAAAATCTTGTATGTCATTTGTAAGAAATGGTTTACTCCTGGTTTGCCCACTTTTAATTACACCTATTATTTATTAGTAAAGAAAACAAAAAAGACAAAAGGTTTAATGAGCACACAATTATATAGTCTGTTCCAACTTAGGTATATAGTTTATCAGTGTTTTCTATATATATTCAGGTATTTTTTATTTTGTAATTCCATTTTCATAAATGTATAGATAAATTATACATAAATTATATTTTTTTTCTCTCAATAATTTAACATACATGTAAAACAATGGCACTAGCCTGTTTTAAAAGTAATATAAAGTATATTAAAAAATAACTAAACAAATTTCGTGCGCAGGGTTTTGGGGCCGCTGAAGGCCCGAAGAAGCTATAGAAAAATGTATGCAAAATCATGCATTCTGCGCATTTCCCAGAACCTTTCTTGATCAAAAATGCAAGTTCTTTTTTTATTATTTTTTTGACAATATTTTGGTCTCAAGGTAAAATATATAGTTTCAGTGTAAGACTTTTAGTTTTTAGGGACATCAAAACACCAATATGTAGGATAAAGCAAAAACATGTAGTTCACATATAGTTTTATGGATGTGGTTGCTATTTTTTTTTAGAAAAAAAATCCTTAAAAAAAATAAAAGTCAAGTTAAATTTTTTTTTACTAAATTACAAATGGAAAGCAAAAGAGAATAAAGTAAATGTTCCTGAGACAATATACCTAAGTTAAATGAAACCCATTTTCAGACATTTAATTCAAGTAAATTAATATTAATACATGATATTATTTAAAGATTTGGGAAGTTTTTCCCTAAAAAAAAATGAAAAAAGACGAATTTTGGACGAATCAGGTGCCATCTCATACTTTAGAATAGCATTTATAAAATGGCTTAAAAGACCTGCCAAGTTATTTATTTTCAATACATTTTAAGTCAGTTAAACTTTATTTATTTTCAAACTACTACAGGACAAACGATTATTTTTTTCTTATTATCAAGGCTGAGTTATTTATTTTCAAAATCTTCCCTCCATACAATATCCAATGGTCGTCACCTAATATATGAATCAAGTTTATAAATGCATTGCATAAGGAAATAAATAGAGCACTATTGTAAAATAACAATCTGTTGGTTTTTTTTTTAAATTATTTCATTTGTAAAGCTTGGCTACTGAACAGTTGCATTTTTATTCTATTTGTTAGTATTTATTGTCAAATTCAATACATTTTCCTGATAAAAACTATATTAAAACTTTTGAACATTTTCATTGATTTAATAGCAGAATATAGTATTTGATAAAATTTTACAGGTAAAAAATATGACTATAATTCAGAAATAAACTATAATTGTTAAAACAACAATCCACCCTATGTTTACATATGCATGTAATTAAAAGTGGGCAAACCAGGATGACACCGTAAGAAATCCATGTAGGAATAGAAGGAATAGTTGAATAAACAAGGGATTCATTAGATTAGATTGTCAAAACATAATGCTAATTAACTTCAGGTAAATATCCATAAAACCTAACGAGTTAGTTTTCATCAATGTACAGTTTGAAAATAGTAATAGTAGAAAATATAAAAAAAGTTCTAACAAAAGGCTTTGGAACAGCTACGAATCATATTAACAACACTAATTTCTGTTTATCATCGAAAGACATAAAATCACTATTAAAATGTGTTGCTTCATCAAATGATTTTTTTTCAAAAAATCGTCATATAAAGGACACGATAAAATAACATGGGCTTCATCTTCTAAAATACCCTTACAACTATCACAGACTCGCTCCTCTAAAAGTAATTTTTCAAATCTCCCTGTTTCGATTCTTAGTGGTGCTACACCACATCGAAATTAGACAAAAAGAACTATGTGAAAATGACATTGGAATTGTACAATAAGCTTCCGTTTCAAAACTGTTCTTAAATAAATTATATGTTCGAAGTTTGTTACCACCTTTCCCAGATAAAGCTTTTTCTGACTGTAAATTGCATTGCCACTTTTCAACATATTTACTTAAACATTTTAGACATAATAGTATTGACAACTGAAGTACTATGAATATATTCTGTAATGTAACACAAATGTTTTGCATTACACTCAGAAAATGTTTTCGTTACATAAAAATTCCAATTTTTTAAACACTTGTGTTTTTTACTCATAATGTCTGCCCATATGAAAACTTTTCTGTTTAACCGATTAGAACTCATATTGTTCAACCGGCACCATAGTCGAATTCAGCATTGCCATTATTTTTGAAAGAGAGGAATAGAAGGAATATTTATTTTCAAAATGTAGGAATAGCAGGAAGACACCCAATTAAATGTATTTGATGTCTCATGTGTGATAACTAAAATGACATGTTAATTGGCTTGATGAATTGGTGATTACGACGAGTGTCAAAATTAGATAATCTAATTAAATTTTGGTACTTTTAATGTGCCGGTGAACTCGCTCAGATCATCATTTTAGACTCAAAATATAGAATCTATATAGTAATGCTGCATATGCCAGTTTTTAATTATTGAGATGCAGTTCAACTATTTCCAAATGCATACAAAATTTCGTAAATCTGAAATATTGTCCAATGACTTTTATTTCATCTCAAGTAAAGTATGTGTATACAATGTTTCATCTGACTTGCCGACAGTATTTTGTTTTGAACTGCATCAAGTGTATCAAGAATCTATTCAGTGTTTCAAAAGCCAAGCTAATGTACTAGTTTGTGATGTCCATCTGAGTTGCCGCTTGTGTTGTCAGAGAATGTTTTCCCTGGACAATGCTGGAGACAACTACCAACATGCCTCTACACAATTTCAGGCCCTGCATAAATTCTATACATAAATTGGAGAAGATACACCCACATCAAAAGAAAAGTCCCAAATCATCAAATTTGAAATTTTTCACTATTATAACGACACACTAATAATATTTTATTAGTCAACTCAAATAACTGTCCAACAACAACTTCAAATATCTTGTTGAAAGTATTTGGTAGCCCTTAAAGGACTGCTTTATACATTATTCAATATTTAATAATATACATGTACTTATTATTAAACAAAAATGACAACTACAAAAACGATAAATTCTGGTATATACAAAATAGATTTAAGATATAATTACATTATGCATTTTTTAGAAACATTCTAAAAAATGGAAGGAAAAAATAAGAAAAAATTAAAATGTATTTTTAAAAAAAAGTAAATGTCACAAATATACCCCAGAATTAGAATTGTTGGGACTTTAAATATTTTTTGTATATTATGGTTTTAATACCGGTAGGCGTTTTTGGTATAGACCCAATAATAGGCCAATTCAGTTAGGGGCATAGAGATAGTGAGTCGACCCTAAATAGAAAAATTAAATTTATTTGAATAATAAATGTCAAATTATAAAAAGAATTAACAAAAACAATGATATAATGTCTGAAGTATTTATATTTCGAAGTTCTGTGGTATATTTTTGGTGTTCTGTGGTATTCTGTGGTGTTCTGTGGTATTCTGTGGTGTTCTGTGGTAAAAAGACGCTCCCCATTATGTTATGTCATTGTAGACATTCTTTAAATAAGTATTAGAACATATATCATGCCTACAAAGTTGAAGTCATATAAGAAGATATGGCTACTGGTTAGAGAGTAGAATTCTAAATAACTGTGATATATAATGTAATTTATATAGGCTATCACAACATATGCAGTCTTATCATATACTGAAAAAATGATCTGCATTATACCCCATTTCTATTGCAACCTCCTTGTCAGTCTGTCTGTTGACCTGTATTTCAGACTGCCCATCCATTCAACAAATATTTTCCTCACACTTTTCTCTTAAAACAACGGAACAGAATGAATACATATTTGATCATCAGCTTGACAATAATAAGTTGTAACATGAGTGGGAGTAATGCTAAGCACAACAATCCAAGCAACTTTTTGTTAGAATTTCCATTATAAAATCTTTTGATATTTATTAATTCTTTGAATTGTTCTGTATTTTTCAGAGCCAAAGAGAAGAATCAATACAGAGATTTTCTGAGATGCAGAACACATCACCAGGTATGCTGCTGATATTCCTATATTGTGTGCTTAAGAACAAACACATGAAATACCTTTGTGTAGAACATAATGATATTTAATCAAAGAAGACATTAATATCAATCAGGATTTTGCTTCATAAAAAAAAGATACAAATGATTACAAAGTTTGACTTTTATCATATCATAGTTGGCTAAAGAATATAAGCAGAATTTATTAATTTAGTGACAAAAGTTGGGTTAGGTTAACCTACTTTTCTTCTGAGGCTTTTAAGTAAATTCTGTGTTTACAATAGATATAACATGGTTAAAATGGGATGCATGAAAGTGGTAGTTGTAATTGGTTTTGGGATTAAAATGGACGAACTAAACTAAAAAAAGCATATTCATACATATGCACAATTACAATTCATGTTTCAGAATCTAAAACATTTTTGGTATTATTTTCGATTGTGTACACAAAAACTTTGTGATTGGTTAACCTGAACAATGGATATTCTACAAATTTTCCTAATGGTGTACGAACAATGAAATTTTTCTTTAGATTTTGGAACATTGAACTTTTTGGAATTGCAAGAATGGTAAAATGTACAGTGATATAAGGTCAAACGCTAATATTTCTTTGAATAATTTGTAAAAACATTAAATGTATAATGCTTCTTTTTGATTTATATTAGTATTTCTGTAAATGACTATAAAAACATTAATGTATAATGCTTCTTTTTATTTAAATTTGCTCAGTTGCTTTCAGTTTGTCCAGAAATTTTAGTTTAAAAGAAAATTTTGGTTAACCTGCATGAATGTTTGTTTATTTTAACATTATAAGTTTGTTTATAGACCCACAGACACCTGTACCTGACTACGAGGAGGGAACTGTAGACAGTCAAGAAACTTACGAAAAATATTGTTCATTCGCCAAAAATTTTGGCTCTGTAATCAACAACATAAAACTGATAGGTATTGCCTGTCTTTTTAATGTTGTTTTGTGTTTTGTGGCACAATATGCAAAAAACCCTGTTAACTCTTTGTTAGTGTTTCTGTTAGTTTTCTTGGTTTCAGCGCACAATATCAATATTAAAGATGTGTGGAAAATATTCAGTTAAACTTGTTTTCACTATCAAACCAAAACCTCAGGTCTGTACCAAGAAGTGTGTATGGGTTGCAGTTAAATCCACTTTTAGGAAAATAATGACCTCTTCAAAATTAAGCAATGCAACACTCCCATACACAAAGAAAGTTAAAATTTGAATTTTAAAAGCAATCACTTGGGTGCAGACCTAAGTATGAATTCTCCTGCAAAAAGAAATTCTTCATGTTGGCTTTCATTTGTGAAATATCAAACTTATATCATTCAGATTAAAATGACTGATTTCAAGAAAACTGATAGCACAGTTTACATTCATTAATGAACTTTAACTCTTTATATAATGCTATATGTGATGAATAAGCTTTTCTTTGAAAATTTGGAAGGAAAACAATGAAAAAATGGCTAACTTCACATTTATGTAAATGTCTAGCTTTTTTAAGATACGGCAGTTAACTTCAGAATCTTAATCAAAACTTTTGATTTCAAAATCAATAGATTCAAAGAATCATAAGTCTCCAAGTTTAGAGCTGTCCTTTCCTCATTTACCATTCTTTGTTTTGACCTTTATGATCATGAAAAAGTACCTTATGTGTGAAAGTACTAAATATTTCCAGGTTAATTGGAAAAGCTTATTGTAATAGGATTGATCTGAGTGTAGTTACAGATTTGAATATGCAAAAAAATCTTTTTGTTGAATACTAGCTTAAATACTATATTCACACCCAGAGCAACAACAGGCATTTTGATACCTTAAAAACATATATATATATTTAACTTGCCTGTTCAGCAAAATAACTTCTGAAAGGATCATCAGGTTACAAGGTGTGATAATTTAAATGAAAAATAATGAAGTGTTGTTCCCATATTATAAAATATTGGATGGGTAGCTTCTTGTTGTTATATATTTTTCTTTGTACCTGTACTAACTTTTTAAATGTAAATAAACCTTACATTAAATTTGATACTCATTTAATTTTCTGTAATCTGTTAACATTTATAGTTCAACATTTAATTAATCATTTTTAAACAAATCTTTGCTGTCACAGTTTTGCATGTGACTTCCATATCTTAACAGCAATCTATTTTTTATGCAGCTGTTTTAATTAGAATAACATGTACAACTTCAAACATTGCATAATGCTGCTATACTTTAAGACCCAGATGTCTCAAACATGTTCTCTTATAATCTGCATGAAATTATGGATAGCCAGGATAATTAAAATTAGGTCTGTTTTATATCCACATTTTTTAGGTAAAATTTTGATGCTTAATGAAAAAGATTTGTTGGATTCAGTAAACTACTAAATTGATGAAGATAACTGATTGATTGTTGGTTAAATGTCCACTTGTAAATATTTCAGGCATTTGCTACAAAGATGATTCTTTATTCAAGGATTCAATAATAATGTTGTTGTTGCCATATGATAAAGAAAAGAAATTTTAAACAATTTATGTATATTGTTTTTAATGTTATGCGTATAATATATGTTTAAAATAAGGGATATAACTCTGCAACTATATCTTTTTAATTCCTAGAATTGACCAATTCAGAAATTTAAATCTTGTCATGAATTATGTTGCACAGTCTCAGTGTGTTTGTTAGTGACCCATTCAGAACTTCAAAAAAAAAGTAACAATCCCATATGAGAGACATAAGGTTTATAGAGGAATCTCAAAGTTATTTTCCCAATTACACAGACCTGTTAGTGCATTCTGCATGATTTTTATATGACAAAACTATAGGATAGATTGGGTAGTGAAAGAAATGAGCCTGAATTAAAACAGATTTACAATCCTATTTGGGCTCATTAGTCATATCTAAGGTTAAAGGTAAAACTTAACAACTTGATCCTTGTAGATGTACATATGAGGGGCCTGATGGGGGGGTCTCATCACGATTAACGAGTTGATTTTTTTGTCAATCACGATTCACAGAAAATAAATTTCCATGATCACGGATCACGAAAATATAAAAAAAAAAAAAATCTGTAGAAAAACGGATCACGATAGCGAAAATGTGCCGATCACAAAGAACGAAAATAACCCATCAGGCCCCTAACATATCATTAGATTAGATTAAATATTTAATTAAATTATCTTTTTGTGATTTAACATCTGCTTCATTTGCATCAACTTTTTTTTAAAGAATTTTTGACTAGCATTAGTAGGTGCATAGAGGTACAGTACTCATTATTGCTGTACTTAGAAAGAAAAAATCTGAAATATTAGACTGACATGGTTAATTGTTACCAACATAATATTTCTTCCTGTTATTTATCTCTAAACATTTCCTGTTGAATAAGAAAACTTATAACAAATATTTGTATAATTATTATACAATTTCTTTTAGACTAGGGGACTCTTAATAAATATATATATATATATATACTATTGGCAGATCCAGTATTTTTGAAAGGGGGATGTGCCTCCTGGATCTGCCCTAAATAAAGGATAATACTGTAGTTATCTTTTACTGGATTAGATTTGTAGATACTGTATACTGTAGTCCATGCACACAACTTCAAATATTTTTTTTTTTACTGGAGTTTTGTAACATCTTTCAGAATAATTCATACCTTATTCCAATTTTTCTTTACTATTAGATTGAGAAATATTCAACACAATAGATAAATGCACTTTTGTTATCTTGTTACAACTTTATATTATAATATTTGAAAATACTATATGATGTCTATATCCTAAACATACGAAAAACAAATCAGACAAGAAGATAGTAATTGGAAAATGGTACCAAAACAAATGATTATGAAGATACAATCATTTAAATGAGTCTCCATTAGCATCTTGTTTTAAGTCCTTAAAATTTATCACTGGTTTTCTTGAAACTGGAAATTGCTCTTCATCAATCTAAATTTCTTCTGCAATAGAAGGTGAAATATATATGTATTTTAAGCAAAATGCTTGACAGTAGATGTGTTTATTTCAGAGTTATTTCATTAAGAATCCGAGTGTTTAAAATGTACAACAAAAAATGATATTTTTTTTATATAAAAATAGTATTGTTTAATAGCTTTTGTTTCATTTATATGCATTAACAATTTTTGTACGACTGCAAAAAATTTTGCGGTCGTATATTGGTATCTCGTCAGCGTCGTCCGAAGACATTTGGTTTCCGGACAATAACTTTAGTAAATGTAAATAGAAATCTATGAAATTGGGGGTAATAGTCCTTACAGTTTAGGAATAAGGGCCAAAAAGGGGCCCAAATAAGCATTTTTCTAGTTTCCAGACAATAACTTGTGGAATGGTGTATGGATCTCTCTGAAATTATACCACAAGTTTCCATACCACAAAGGGATGGTTAGGATTGGCTTTGGGGGGGGGGGGGGTATGGCTCAAACTGTTTAGGAATTTGGGGCAAAAAATGGGGAAAAACAAGGGTTTCCTGGTTAATGGACAATTAAAAAAAAGTACAATGTTATGTTTGGATTACCTCCCTTACACTGCTTTTAAATTATGTATAAAGAAATGTTGTATTGTCGAGGTGATAAGCAAACTCCATTGGAAATTTGAATTGAGATTATGACCATATCTTGAGGGAAAGAATTTTTAAAAATTTTTAAACGTTAAAGAATTTTTTTTTTGGGGGGGGGGGGGGGGGGGGGGGGTCAATTGGCAACAGCATAGTGTATTGCACAAAAGCAAAAAAAAAAAGGGGGGTAAATTTTTTTTTGAGGGGGGGGGGGTCAATTCGCAACAGCATAGAGTATACTCACAAAAGCAAAAAATTGAATATAAATTCAAATCATATAATTAATTCTAAGTTCTTTGACTACAGTTATTCTGTGTCAGAAACCTATTATGTGTCAAATATTTAATTACAATCCAAATTGATACCTGTATCAAGCGCAAATATTGTGTCCATTTTTGCCCCAACTGTTCAGGGGAGGACCTCTGCGGTCGTATTCAGCTGCGCTCGGCGAAGCAATTTATTAGTGCAAGTAAGAGTTCTTATTTTATGAATCTAGATAACATTTATATATAAAGAGTGAATACTTATAAACATTTTAAAATGTGCATCATAACGTAAACTGTCTGAAATCTTTTAGAATATTGCAGAATCTTTTTAAGTTTCAATAAATATATTTGCATATGAATTAAGTTATTATTTCATTTTGCAGATGACCAATATGATATTCCTGAACCAGAACCAGATTATAATGATGTAGTAGACTCTGGAGAAGGATTACAAGGGAATGGGGAACCAGTCATCATCAGAGCCAGAGGCCCATCAGAGACAGAAAAACGTTTATCTGATCCAGACATTGAAAATAATGAACTCATAAAGCCAAGAAAACTTTCAAATCCATGTGTGGATTCTAGAGAACGAATGGCATTACATAAAGAACTACTACGGAATTATAAAATGTAAGAGTTCATTTTGAGATGAAAATTTAAAAAAATGAAAATATGCATTATGATAGCAAATATAACATAAGTGTAACAATAACATGCAATATATGTGTAGGGTTAGTTAGTAAATGTAAATCGAAAATTATAAACTTTGGAAAAGGGGAAAAGAAATGTTTTTGATTTTTTTTCTGTTCTTTTTTTTAAACCGTTCAATTTATATTTGCAAATATAATTTACAAGCATTCTTTTTTGTCTGTCTTAGAATAAATAACATTAGATTATTAATCATTGTACTATTGTAGTTATTGTGAAAAGTATTTGTATGTCTCTTGCCCCTCAAACTTGACTGTTGTCATCAGTTTAATATGAAACAGGACTTTATAAGGGACATTATTTGTGTTGATAATGTTAGCAAATTTTTATAACATATCTATGACAAGATACTATGGCTAAATTTGATTGTAAAATTAAGTATATGAATATGACAAATATCACTTAAAATTCTGGATTTTTAAGAGGTGATTGTCACTATATTATAAATCGTGACTTTTTTAAGGAGAGGTTATTTAATAATGGTTTATAAATAGATCTATTCAATGTACATTGAAGATAGATACAGCTGTTTCAGGTTTTATTTCCGAGCCATTACTGCCTTTGTTTTGGCAGCATTGATAACATCTTTTTAGTGCATGTAAAAAATGTAAAAAAAATATGAAAAGATAAAAAAAAAAAAGGTTCCTGTTAATCTTTGGTGATAGGTTGTTAATTCATCCATCACAAATATAACTTACTCTGCTAAACAAAAACCTAAATAAATAAAAGACATGAACCTAAATAGACAAGTCTAAAAAGGACATACAAAACGTCTTATTTAAATTATCTTTGCCTGATGGAAATAAAACCTAATAGTATCTAGTAAATATTAAATACAAAATGTTTAAACTCACGTTACTGATTTATTTTTCAAAATGTTTTGATACAATTTGAGCAAGAGTTACTTTCCTTTTGTCGCCATGTTGGAGGGCCATGTATGCAAATTTCTTCATAAATCAGTCAAATTCAACTTGTTCTTCTGACCACTAGACTTGAGAGTTTTTCTGAACAGTTTTGATTACTTTTAGTCTTGCTTAATTAATCGCTAAGATTTAGTCAGGATCTCTTATCAGATTTGTGTGTATCGCATTTTCCAATTTGGTAAGTCAAATAAGGAAATCAAATGTTTATCCCTCCAAAATGGCACCAAGGGATATAACTCAAAATCAAATTACGTCATTTGAAACCTATTTACATATAAAAGTGTATTTAAAAGACAACTGATGTGAGTTGAGCATACATATTTGATGCACATCATCTAGATTGTGTGTAATCTGTATATAATGTTTAGTACTATAGTCAAACCTGTATATAAAGGTCACTCTTGGGAAAAGAAACAAAGTTACCTTATAAGAGTGGTCATCTTTGAATTGAGGTTCAAAATACATAGGTAATAAAACAATGAGAGAAGAGGGTGGCCTCACAAGACAGGTTTTTCGCTCAATAGAGTCGACTTTATAGCAGGTTTTACTGTAGTTGTAATAATACTTTAATATAGAAAATTTTAAAATGTGAATTTCAAATCTACAGCAAATTGTAAAATGACTTTTTCTGTAGGTTGAGAACAAGGTTTGTTTGTTTGTGATAGTGTGATTTCTAATTCAACACTCACAAACAATATTAGCAGATTTAACATACTAACAGTGTATTGGTGCAGTGTCAACAAAAGTATTCACAAATAAATGTTATGTCCTTAAAGTTTAGAATAGGTTGATTGACTGCCCATTGTCATAGAATGCTCTTTGCGATGACGACAAGGGGTGTTTTAACAACCTTGACTACCCATGAGGGTCTTGCACGGTCGGTCCTGGCTTGCACCTTTTTGTGCATTTAAATGCTCTTTGCATAAAGGAAAAGCATGTTGTATACATGTACTTCTAAGATGACAAACTATCCTCAGGTTTTCTTTATTAACCTTTTTATAATTACTGTAGACCAAAAATTGTTTTAAATTGCCTCGTTTGAACCTTTGACATTATCGTAGCCCAATCATTTGTTTAATGGTAAGGATCTCCCAATGTAACAGTATATGATAGATTTTGTCAGTAACTTGCTATAAATATATACTTTTGTTTTGAATTTAACAGCCCTACAATAGAAGAACCATATTTTTGCACTTGCAAATATTTCTACTTCAGTGTGATTCAAAAGTAAAGCTAGTGAGACGATATGTCAACACAACTCTGCACTTCGCCCATCACATTAGACTACTTGACCAAGAGGGCTTTTTATAGATTTAACTTTTTAATTTTAAAGTAGTGGACTTCTGGTATGATGCAATACATGATGTATTGTAGCTCTTTGCATTTAGTTTTTCTTTATGTAATTTCTACTAATAAAACTGATCATCATGAGTTTCATGAATTTATAGAAGGTGATTTTTAAAACTAAAATGAGCAACTAATCCGTAAAATTGCATTTTTAAACAAAATTGCCAGGCCATCAGCAATACCAACTTGACCGAATATAAGGGTTAACATGAGAATATGGATGACCAATATGTTCAGTAATTAACCTTTTTTTTGAGGAATTGGATTAAATTCAAGGGAGAGGTTCATCTATTACTTGCTTGTAATCATGGTTTTTGAACTTACACAATTATTTTATTATGCAAATTTTATTTAAGCAGTCATTCTCAAAGTATAACAAGGTATTTGAAAAGGTGTTTCACAATCTATATGAATGACATTTGCTGTATATTGCAATTTTTACACTACTCTAAAGTTCAGAAATGTTTGCAACATTTTCATTCTATAAAAAGCGATAATGAAAAAGCTTTGCATTAAAAAGAACTCACCTTTTAAATTCTAATATCATTATTGGTGTACAGTGTTCTTAGAAATATCATTAATCAATTTCAGAATGGTTATAGGTGATAAAAGATCATAAAAGAATCGCCCAAATAAATACTGCCAATCATTTCTGAACTTACTTTCTCACACAAACATGTATATTACTGTGACTTGGGTTTGCACCAAAGAAAAAAATCCTCTGTTCCAAAATTTTTATTGTAGATGTGATTTTTGTGGCTTTTTTTCACATGACTTATTTCATTGCACTAACAAAGATAACTTGTGTAAAAATAAATATAATGAAAGCATGTTGAAATTAAAATGCTGTGTAATTTATCTTCATTGTCAAATTTGAAAAAAAATATCTTATTTTCATCTGTGATTGTTAATATATAGTTCCAGAATTTATATGACGAGAGTTTTTCGAAAACAGTGCACATATGTAATTTTCTCTATAATTAATTTCATCTTTTATTTTCAGTGGTAAAAATGTGCTAGAAAAACCTGAACTTTCTAAAGTTTTGGACCAAAGAAAAGAAAAACAAAGAAGAGAAGAATGGGATGCTCAGATGAAAGCTGCACAGAAAAGATCAAGTTTTGAATATAAATTAGAACAACAAGCAACAAGATTAAAGGAGGTATTATCCCTTGCTCCAACAAATTTTGAAAGATATTTATGATTTTATATTGTGCTTTAGTTAGATCATTCTAACAGAATATAGAGGCACAGAATATACCAACGGAACAATTATAAAATCACAAGTTGAAAAATACAGAAAAAAAAAACAAAAAAAAAACGTCTATAAAACACTACACAGAAAACAAAAGTCTCAGCAACACAAACTGATCAAAAACTCTGGCAAATCTCAGGTGCTTCGGAAGGGTAAGCAGATCCTGCTTCACTAGTGGCACCTATCATGTTGCTCATGGCATGTAATAATTCTATCACAAGTGTAATCACCATTTTAATTTATGTACCTTATTTTGGGTATAAAAAATGTTTGATTTAGAGATAACACAAAGGAGAAGATACGATAAGGTCACTTTTTTGTTTCGGGTTGAAAACCCGCTTATGTCATGGTGATGTTGGACGGGCTGATGGGCGGGTGGGCTGGTGAGCAAGGAAAAGTAGGTACCTAGTTTGTGTAATGAACTCCTCTTACAGTTTTCAACTCAGATCCCTGAAATTTCACAGGGAGGTTACACATATTTTGATGTTGTGCACCTGCTATTATGGGATTGTTTGAGGAATTTTTTTCTCATTTTTCCAGACTTGGGAACGTAGTCTTTTTTCAAATATTTAAATGTTCAGTATAGAACATTCTCAGTTGTTTAAGAATAATTCTTTGTAACCCGGCCGTTTGAGTCTTTGATCTATTTTTTCCCCTTGAATTCAAAAATTGTATAAAAGTTTGCTACCAAACATGATACTTCTGATGTTAATAAGACATCTGTTTGCCAGACATGAGTAACTATATTTTTGAATTTTGTCTTGCATGTTAGCCTCACCACTTCAAACTTCTTGAGTTAAGTACAAAACTGCAAAATATATCAAAATAGACTCATTTTGAGATCTTCGATAATAATTTAGATTTCGGATGAGCTGCTACACGATTTATTTTACAAAGATTTTTACTTAATCTTTTCTGTAATAATTAATGCTACATTGAACGATAAATCTTTGATCATTTCAGCAAGAAGACCTCACAATGAAACCCATTAAAGAAGAAGGTAATCAAACTGAACTATCAAAAATCCAGGCAAAAATATTAAGCAAGACAGCTAATGGTCAAGTGAAGTGACATCATTCTGAATTTTATCAATTTGTGGAATCTGGACAGAGTTAGAAGACCTTGATTCTAAGAAGCTGGTTTTCTTTTCTTGTAAATCTAGTGAAGTTGGATATTATAGATGATTCTGTATGAAAGTAAAGAATGTAACTTGTATTTTATCATCTTAAATGTTTATTTTAATGTATTTAAAAACTTTCCATGTTAACCTGTATTGAGCATATGACAGACATGTTTTAATTTAAGCAGAAAGTTATTCTTGAAACATTGTTGAAATCACTGCTCTGCTGACATTAGATCTTCATAACTTTAAAAAATATTACTTTTTTTAATCTCAGCTTTTTTACATTTTGTGCAAGCAAAAAAATGAATTTGCATTCCAAGTTATGATCAATAATGTATCAATTGGACCACAATGTGAATGCCATTTTAATCTATTCATTGTCAGAAATCCAGTGATAAACTTGAAATTAGTTTAAATGGTATTTCACATTCTTTTTTGTACCTCAGTTTCCATATTGTATGATGATAATACTCAGTGCAAAAAGTTCACTCACCATGAGTTGTGACATCTTAAAATGAAATACAGCATATGTATTAAATTTTTAGAAAGTCATCAAACAGAATGTATTTTTTGTGGAAATATTAAAAAGTACTGTAGTTGGGAAAAGGGCACAATTAATTGGATGGAATTCTGGCGAGGGAGTTTATATGTTCTTTGAATAGTGCTAGAAATGGTATTAAATTGAAAATTATCTGCCCATCATTATGAATTGCATAAGGATTTGAATTCTGTAAAGCATGTTTACACAAAAATTATCACCTATTTTTTCAAATTTAGGGGTTGAAAAGAAAAGGTCACATAACCCTCAAAAGCTCAGGTGTATTATGTAAAAATGCCTTATGTCTCATAGCTTTAAATCTATTTTGATGAACATGAAAGTAAATTAAAAAGCACCACAGTATTTGTATACCAAACAGCATTTGATTTGATGTAAGGAACTGACTAGATCAACATGTGCTTATTTGTAGAATAATGTCATTGTAAAATTGCAAGCAAATTCAGTCTTTAATACTGCAGTTTCATATTTCTTACTATCAATTTTATCATACCATATATTTTATTTTTGAGGACAAATGCATGCCCTCTTTCCAAACAGATAAAAAGGAATTTCTATTAAGTCCTATGATTATGTGACTGCAAATATCATTTCAGATACTAAGTTACATTTTATCAGATTTATGTCTTTGCATGGAAATTTTTAAATTAACCAATATTAAGTCAGTGTAGTAAATTTTGTGCTTCAGAAATTACATAATGGTGCTATACTGGTGAATGCTATCATTGTCTCAGGGCTTAGTATTGCCATGTTTCCCTCCATTGGTGTTGTCATGATCTGTATTTGTGTCAAAAACTTAACAGTACTATGGCAACCATAGTTCAATCATTCCTGCTATTTTACAGCAGTCATCAAATTCAGGAGTTACAGGAGATTGCATAGATTACTATAAAATAAATTGTTTATTATTTGTAAATTTTCTTTTAAAAAAAAACGCTTCCAAAACTATGATGATACATAGGACTCAAGTCAAATTGAAAGACTTTTACAGGAATTTCTAAATTTTTTTGAATCACTTAAGTTGCCATGGTAATAATTAATCTTTAATATTGTAAGATATAATGTGTAAATTGATGTCAAATTTAAAAATCTGCCTTTTTACACTCCAAAGCAGAAGCTTGTTCAGTGTTTCTTGTTATTGTTGCATTTGAGAAGTTTTAACAGAAAGGACAGATCTTCCATGACATAATATTGTGTTCTTTTCGTGTTCCATTCCATTAATGGGTCCTTTTGCATCTTCATGTTAGTTACAGCCTATTAAATGGAGATTCTGATTTTTGTTTTTAGAGTGTTGATTGTTTTTGAAAATGGTAAATCCTTTGTCGTGTGGCCAAATAATAAAATGTCTTCTATCACCGTTACATTTATTTTTGGAAAAATGCTTAAATCTCATATTTTGCTATGTCCATTGATTTTTATACATCCATAATTGTTGTTTTATATTAAATTGTGCATGTCGAAACGAGTGAAAAAGTTTGCATAGATGTAAGTCAGTTTCTGCGTCCATAGATGTCTATTTTCATACTTAACGTAACAACGACCCAGCATTTTAATACCATATTTATAAATCAATGTTGTTTCTAAATTGTTTAAATATGTGTTCAATGTATAGTTTTAAGTTAACAAAAGTAGAATAGTAAGGAAATTGACACTGAAACAAAACAATGTATATTTTATGTGAGGATGAATGGTATGTGTTATCCTGTATACAATACTCTTTATTTAAGATTACAGCACATACAGAAATAGCCAGAGTGTATTGAGGAATTATTTTTTAGGTACATTTTGTATTTAGAGGAAAAGATAGTAAAGAAAATATGTTTCAATTTGTAAAAAGTACAAAAAAACATTTATAGCAAAAATGGGTTAAAATCTGGTATTTTTTCTTAACCTTTGTTCATCATTTTATGATATTTGACTCAAATGTACATTTATAGTTCTCCACAAAAAGAGATGCAGTTCATGACACTTTCCAGTTATGAAATGTGTATTTCTCTTGGTTAATGTAGCTTTTGTTTAGAGAAGCTATATATTTGTCAAAAGATGATAAGAGCTTCGCATAGGAAGCTCCAAATTTTCATTAGTGATTTTAGAAATATTATATTCAGGTACTGTTTCACTCATCGTTATGAGTTTGGACAATTTAATATTTAATGTGCTATATGTTACATTGTATCATTTGCTGGTGGACCAGATTTCATGTGCTTTATGTTACATTGTATCATTTGTTCTTGGACCAGATTTCATGTGCTTTATATTACATAGTATCATTTGTTCTTGGACCAAATTTTGTGCTAATTTCTCCTCATGGACCAGTCAGGTTTTATGTAAATAATTTTGTTCTCTATTGGTCCAAGTAATTATATTGTATGTTATTATTGTTTCATATATAATTTGATTTATGTTATCCAGTATTATTTGTTATTAATAAAATGATAGAAATAATTAAAATGTTTTTATCAATTTGCTTACACTCACCCTCGAAAAAAAGAATCCTGTATCACATATTTTAAAATCCTGGCATCTGATATGCAATAGTGTGTGGTATTTCTCCCATGTTAAAAAATATGCATAGTTCTTTGGCATTTGTACCAACATGCCAGAAAATATGTACATGGCCTTGTCATTTCCACCCTGAAAGAGTCTCAAAAATGTTGGATGTTTGTACATCTCCTTTTAAATATCAAGAAATGGGTCTCTGTAACTTACCTTGTCTGCCAGATCTAAAAAGAGAGGTGAAAGATACCAAAGGGACATTCACACTCTTTTAAGTCAAAAATAATCTGATGCCATGGCAAAAAAAGAATAAGGCCAAAAGATGCACAACAGTATACAAAACACAACATTAAAGACTGAGCAACCACTAACCCTGCCAAAAACTTGGGATGATCTCAGGTGCTCTGGAAGTGTAAGCAGATCCTGCTCCACATGTGGCACCTGTTGTGTTTCTCAAGAGTAGGTCATTGAAACTTTAATTAAAAGTACCCATTTCTATTCATTTTTTAATTATTTGCAAGAAATCAGCTCTATGCTTCAAATTCAATGATGACGAGTAAAAAGTGTTTCAACTGGAACAAACCATAGGCAAAATATACAATAGAAAAAGGATATGGGGTATCCATCCATGACACAAAATAAGTATATGCACAGCAAAAAACACAAAAAGCAAAGGAACAGTGCTTTTATTGCTATTCTTCATCTCAAAGTCACAGTAGGGAGGCCTTAAACAACAACAGCAAAAAAACTTTTTGCAAAATAATTCTGGTAGACTTTGTAAGATGTCCAATAGTCCATTATTGGATAAGTGCAATAAAAATTGTAAACCCCTACTATCCAACATGCAGCTATATGAAAACAGGCTATATATCCAACACGGATCCAGGTAACCCTATTTTTTTCAGGAACCTACAGCTACATGACCAGGCTGATTTAATTCTAGTCACTCTTCTTAAAAAAAAAATTGAGAACACTTTATAAATTTCATGTGTCTGAAGCACTTTTCTGGATTTACCTTTTATATCAGGAACGCTGAAAGACAAATATTAAAAGCCAAGGATGTATATGAACCGAAACAGCAAGATTGCCCATTACCCATGGATATGTCAATACTCCAATGGAGAATTAACATGTTTCTAGTTTCAATGACTGTTATTACAGGGGAGATAATAAATGTAAAACATACGTTATTTCATTCTTTTTAATATGAAAATTAAATACATCAGAGTATAGTCTTAACAATACAAATGTACAAAAGCTCTAACAAACTATAACAAAAGAATCAAAGAGCTGAAAGCTCTGAGGAAAAATGACGCCACTGTCTCTAATATTGTGATATTTTTTATGCAAGTCTTGATTTTCACATACCGTAATAAGTTTAACATTGCAACATGTCTCGTAAGCATATAATTGATATTCGTATATGTGTCTGTTTTTTCAGTACAAATGAATAGGTCAAGACTACCTGAATGATCTACAGTATCCAATTACTACTGGCTGTTTTTTTGTATAAATAAATAGGTCAAGACTACCGGAATGGTCTACAATATCCAATGACTACTGGCTGTTCTTTTGTACTAATAAAAAGGTCAAGACTATTTGAATGATCTACAATATCCAATGACTACTGGCTGTTCTTTTGTACATATAAATAAAGACTACCTGAATGATCTAAAGTATTCTAAGTAATGTGATTTTTTTCTTGCTATTACATTTTTCTAAATCAAGAATATAGACTACTAGTATCCTTTTCAAACCAAATGATTATGAAGAGCCTGATGTTAGCAAGCTCTTATACCCAACATACTCATTAAATAAGTTACTAGTGACCTAGTTATTTCTGTTACTTGAAGCAAATTATATTTCTGTATATTAAGACAATAGTATATTGTTTTACTAGTTTTATTTCACCTTGAAGATTAGACAAATAGGGATACTCCTTCGATTTTTTATTTCATGTCAGTCAGGTCGCTTTATATGAAACTTGAAACCACTTCTCTGCCATATTGTTATTTTATAACAACTCTGCCCTTGACCATGTTGACCCATGTAATTGATATTCATTCTTTAATCATATATCATAGTCAGTTAGTTTTTGATTTTGCACTCCCACACCACCTTTCATGTCTTTCAGGTCAAATGTCTGTCTCCATTTAAGTTAATGACATTGAACAATCATGGTATTAAACACAATTTCAATAGTGATAATGCTGTTCTCGTGGGTCACCATATATTCAACTTGGGTAGCATTCCAGTTATTGAAATTTGTGTCAGATAAGAACAATGATCTAGATCTTTAGGAATGGATCTTATAATTTAATATGGAGCCATAGTATGGGACCCCTACACGGTAACAAAAAAAAACAAGCTTGAAGGGATACAATGTCAAGCGGCAAAATCTATCACCAGAGATTACAAGTCAAAAGAGGATGGACGGGATACGTCTCTAAAATGCTTGCTGAACTGGAACTACAAGCAAGATCTCCAGACAAGACGAACAAAGCGTTGAAGCCAGAAGTTAATATTTATGTAAAAAGTAGTTGAGGGGCTGATTCCCGCTATTGAACCATACTGTCATTCTATAATATCATTGCGTCAGTATTTCTGTATTGGCCTTGTTATTGGTCCATGTCTTGGGTGTATTGGTCTGAGGTGAAGCGGAAGGCCAATACTGCTGGCCGTGGACCAATACAGAAATACACGTAATAGTATCTTTATTAATTAACTACAGTGTTACAATATTTTTTTTATTTCATTTCACAAGAGATAAACATTTTTACCTTGAAGTGGAACTATCCAAATCTCAGTTTCCTTTTATAAGATGCAATATCTAATGGATCGGCGCCGTTTGACTGCTGGCCGAGAACCAATAATAAGGCCAATACAGAAATACACGTAATAGTATCTTTATTAATTAATTACAGTGTTACAATATTTTTTTTATTTCATTTCACAAGAGATAAACATTTTTACCTTGAAGTGGAACTATCCAAATCTCAGTTTCTTTTTATAAGATGCAATATCTAATGATTCGGTGCCGTTTGAAGTATCTTCAGCCTTTTCTCATCTGATGAATTTTTCTACCCTTTCCAGTCACTATAAAGTGTTACAACTTTAATTTAGACACAACACATAAATAGTAATTGGAAAGGTACTGCCATTGCATGTGTAATGCAAATATATTTAAAAAAAAAATAATGTAAGAGTTGAAATTGATACAACTATCCATAAGCCAATTGACCAAAGAACGAAGATTTGCACAATTACAGAATGCATATGCCTGGTTCGGGTTTAAAAATAAACGACCGTTCAAATACAAAACATGAGAAGTAAACAGTAAAAATCGATTTGTACCATTGACATGATGAAATTATGAGGTCGTCAAGAAATGAACTTTGTGATAATTTACTCGTTCCCCAAACCTGAAATAATCCCATCGTCTACTTTCAAAATGCTTTTTAAATGAATGGGACGGTCTTTAACCTAAACTATATGCCATACTGAACGTTTCAGCTTGTTTATGGTGAGTAAACCTGCGTTTTACAAACAACTGTTTACTTTCAGTTTGAGTTTATCGTGACTTACGATCTAAAAACTAGAGACGTTCCGAAATCCTGTTTTGTAAACAAAGATTCATACGCACCGCGTGGGTATAACCGTATTACTAATTTCCAATTTTTAAAATCTTCGTAAATCTGGATAAAGACCAGTTTCTATCCAATGGATATCAAAATGATTCCGATTTTCACTTTTTTTAATGATGAAATGGCATGAAAGGCTGACATTATTTAGGAGAACTATTTTGTCTAGCGATTGCTGATCATTGGAGGGTAAAAAGTCCAACACCATAACAAAACCGTGATCTATTTATCATGTATACATACCGATTGTTTACGATTGTAAGACATGAGCATAAAAGTGAAAGCTCGAATAAATATGAAAAATATAACATTAACAAAGGGATAGCTCCAAATACCATTTAATAACAAAAAACATATGGACAGGTCAAGATATCTTTTTGGTAAATAAAATAAAGTATGTAAACTGGTTCCCGTCCGACTACAACATTTTGTTCGACTGTAGCGTAATATAAGCAGATTCCAGTTAGTATGTAAAATAGTAAATATGAAACCGAGTGCGGTAGGCGGAGGCAATAATCGACTTCCTTAAGTTCTGGTCAATGGTATCGGAAACATGCCGCTGATAGCATCATTTTCCAAAAAGATAGTCATAACAGAAGAATTGACAATATTAGAGCTTTGTCATTATTACCTCCATAAGTAAAAAGCAATGCTACATGTGATCTAACTGATTATAAGATAAGTCACTAATAAATGTACCATTTGATTTGTTTTTTATCCACATGTTCCGATAATGCTGGCAGGGATAACAATATGTTTATCATCATTCAAGACATTTGTTTTTAAATTTATATAAAATAATTTTGTGTAATTTTTGCATTTAATTTTTAAGATTTAATTTTTTTTTTGAAACTTTTGGTTCAAATGATTTTTTCTTAATATTTTATAGCTAAAAATGTAATGGCCCATCGACCTTTTGAGACATGTTCAGAACATTGTAGTATGTTCAACTTTTCCTGTCTCCAACCCATTCATTTTTGACCAGTTTAAAAAAAAAACATTTCTTATTGCTCTACAATTCATGCCACTGCAGTCTATTCAACAGCTAAAAATAATATTGCAATCGAAATTTTGAGATTAAGAATAACTGAAAAAACTATAACAAAACATTTCTGTTGAATATATTTCCTTCAAATACTCAAACTTTATACTTCATAATTCAATATTTATGCAACAGATTTGAAACATTGATTTTCCCATGATCTTGATTTCAATATAAATCAATATACAAGTAACTCCACAAAAGTTTAGAACTTGGAGTACTCAAAACTTTAACTTTAACCCTGAAATCTTTTCCATAGATACCCTCCATAAACATGCAAAAATTATACATTATCTTATCATAAAGTTGAAGATCATTCAATTAATGTTTTCAAAGACAAACTTTGGATTTGTTTAATCAATTTTCTCTGGTCCCACTAACTTTACCTTTATGAAGATATAGTATGTAATACAATGTAATGATTTACAGGAAACTTTCATGTAAGCACACTATTGTTTTTGCCAAGTGCTGACTAATCTACATGAAACTTTCATATAAGCACACTATTGTTTTTGCCAAGTGCTGACTAATTTACAGGAAACTTTCATGTAAGCCGACTATTGTTTTTGCCGAGTGCTGACTAATTTACATGCATTGACTTGCTAAACATTTTACTGAAAACAGTATACTGTACTCCAACTGAATAAATACACATCTATTTAACACCCAATACTGACAAATAAAAATTCCTTACAAAATATTTTGAGTGCTCAAACAGCTTTAGGTTCATTAACATTTAATTCTCAAGGTAACATCTTTGTAACCAGTTAATCTGTTTTTGTGATCAAAGAGATAAATTGATCATTTTTGAATTAATCATTTCATCTTTTTTGACATGTGAAGTTTCATATCTCTTCAAATAATTGGCACAACAGCAACAGTCCATTCATTAGAAAGTTTCACTGCAAGATTGTCCATCACTATCATCTCCATCCTGATTGGTCTGATCTCCAGCCTCACTTTGGTTATCCATTTCCTACAACCAATGAAACATTAAAAGTTTAAAAGACAGGCATCAGAAACTGATTTTTTCAGATTTACCTATACATGTATACCCATACTATTACAGCAACAAACAATAGATGTCACCAAAGAAGAATGTTAATTAATCATTTAGTATTATGGACTAATACCACCATTGATTTTCCCCTATTAGTCTTTGTTAAATTGGCACTTTTCAAAAAATTGTGCAGAATTTATCTTTGTTTCAGATAAAGAAATACTAGGCATGAGTAAAGTTTTATCCTGTCCAGTACTACAGTGACAATTTCAAATAACATGTCATTGTATATAAGATAATAACCATCACCGAAAGTAAACCAATCAAATTTTCACCCCTTTTTTTCCTGTTAACAAGCTTTAGTAACCATGTCACCTGAAGTTTCCAAAATATTTTATAGAAACAGCAAATAAAAAAAAGAATGGTGCTTTTTAACACCCAACATATATGTTTTTGACTGAGAATTTTTTTTTCTGCTATGAAATGCAGGGTTAATTTTCTACAACTGTCAAAATCAAGGGAATATTTTTTTTTACCCTTTTTCGTATGAAACTGGATGTGACGTACTATGATTTGGTGGTACTACACCTTATGAGCATTATGATTATAAACATATAGCTGTATGTTAATTATAAAGCAGCATTCAGGCATTTTTAATTCCACAAGTCTTGGTAAAGGATGGATGGATGGATAAGTGTTTAATGTCCAGTGGCAAATATTGCATGCATGTCAAGGATAACAACAATGTAAGTGCTATGAATATGTACCCTGGTTTTTTCTAGACTAACATGCTTATCAGGGTTTTAACTGCTAGTTCACTGCTACCTGGACATGTTATTCTGACTCTGAGCCAACCAGTCTTTGCTCTTACTCATAAATACAGCGTACTTGGCAGAGCAGCAAATACCAATTTTGAAGTCATTATTTCGACCAAGCTGGGATCCAACCCACAATTCCCCACACTCATGGTAAGATTGCTTCCACTAGACAACCAAGGCCAATACATTCCATGTAAAAGCAGGCAATTTTGATTAGAAATCATGAAAATGAAAGATGGATGCCCTCAAATCCACTTAGGAAATTAAAATTTGACTCCGGGGTATTAAAATAGGATGTCTTACATGTTTTATTCCAGCCTGGAATAAACTATATAATATCATGTTTCATGCATTTAACAATACATTTACAAAAGGCTGATAAGCAGGAAAAGCAGCCTGATTGGCATGAAAATGCCACATGTACAAATGTCAGGGAAACAAACCATCTTGTCAAGTCAAGCACTACTGAACTAAAATCATACAACTTACAACATCACTTTCTTCTTGATCCTCCTCAGGAGCCTCATCATCACTGCCTTGGTCATTTGTAGCAGAAGTCTGTGATAAAATCTCCTCACCCTATAAAATATTGTTTTTATAAACTTTCAAAAATGAAAATTATTTTTTAAATAGGACAATTTTTTTATCAAGAAGCAACACAATTGTTTTAGAGAATTTCAGATAACAAGATTCATTTACAAAATGTGATTTCAATCAATCTGATCTTATAATTTAAAATTGTGGTATGAAAATCAGAATGTGGCCATGAAAAATAATATACAAGTATGTAGCTCTACAATACAGAATACTTTATCTTACATTTCTTCCATAGTTGAATTAATCTTCAATAAACTGTTGACACAGAGATATGTCTTACCTGTGTGTAATTTATCATAGTATAACGCAAATGCTGAGGAAATTTAAATAGCGATACTAAACCATTTAAATATATGCAACATTATAAAAATCAATGGACTGTGCCCAAGAGAGCAGGGCCAAATAATCTCTATCAAAAAGGGATATGCCAAAGCTACAACAAGTGAATATCAAATATAATTGACTTACAATTAGTGATATTCCTATAATCTGATTCAATCCCAAACATTAAGTTAGTGCAAGCATATTCAATGAATGGAGGGTCTCAATGATGCAAGGGAGGAGTTGTAGTGGTTGGTCTGATCTGTTCTATTACTAAATATTATTGGTGTTTCCAGTTACCATAGAAAGGCTTGTATAGTTCGCAGTGGTACATAGTCCGCACCCCCTTCTCCCCACAAAATTTTAGGTAAAAAAACTTTTTGTAACTGTTAGAAAAGGTCTAATGAAACTCTGGTAATTTCAAATCCTGTGCGGTCGTTTGCGGTATTTTCTTGGAAAAACCTGTTTTCCATCATCAAACAGAAGCTGAAACTGCTTGTAAATGATTCTAGAACGCTTCATGATTGTTAAAATAAGTTTAATTCACTTAAAAAACAATTTAGAAACTTGTGTATGTTTAAACAGGAAGTTTAAAAAGCATGTGTAAAAGAAGAAATTAACCGGTGAGAGTCGAAATCCGTACATAACAGATATCACTATAATACGACTTTGAAAGTAAAACAGTTCCATCCTTTTGTAAAACTGTCTTTAATATATCTATCACATTAATGTTTGAAGGGTCTTAAGCTAATACAAACCATATTAGTCAGTATGAAACACCAAAACGGAACGAACAATAACCGATTACGTTTTGTCGTTTACAAATTCTAAGCTGGTTTACGGTTGTCTTTTTCACTATGTTTGTATCGTTTCAATCAAGCAGATACCAGTTTATTTCAACCAATGCATTGAAAAGAAACGAGAAATTTGTAATGAAAGGTTTAGTTTTTATATATATCAGTATTAATTTGATATTGAATAGAAATAACTTATTAATATGGATGAGTTAAAATTATTAGTTTGAAAAAGGATAAGAGCGCCCTCTACAATAGAAATAACAAAGATGGCGGAACGTAAACAAACCACCTCGACCGCGAAATTGAAATTTTTCTCTTATTTCTTGCTTATTGTACTCTATAGTCCGCACCCCGTCTGGAAGGTCCAATTTTGGAGAATAAAACCGCGGACTATACAAGCCTTTCTACGGTATACTCTTTATATATTGTATTGTATCTGAATTGTTTCATGTGAAATTTTGGCATAAAGAATGCCGTCAGACATTTTATCGGGTAATACTATTTGTAAGATCTGAAAACTCTCTATAGAAATACCTAGAATGATTTTACCTGTAAATCTCTGTTTTTTAGGTTTCCTAACCAGAAGGCTTCTAAACATTTATTCATAGTCAGCATAGCCTTGACACGATAAACAAAAGCTTCCAAACATTTCTTCATCAATGGTACCAAATTTGTCAGACATACATCTTTCATGATCTGAAAATATTCAAAATACTTTCATTATTTATTCTCTACTAGGGACTCATTATTATTGATGGGATACAAATTTTCGTATATTTCATTGGTGAAGGGGAACCATGAAATTAAATGTTCAACAAAGTACAAATTATCTCTAGTCTTGTATGCAAATTTTGGCAAAACTACAAAATCAAATACTGTGGAGTCATTATTATTCGTTGGATACCAATTTTCGTGGATTACCAGGGAACCACGAACTCCAATGTACAACGAATTACAAATTTACTATAAAAACATTAGCAGACTTTGGCAAAAACAACAAAATCAAATATCCACGAAAATGCAAGAATTCCTCAATCCACGAAAATTGGTACCAACGAAAATAAATGAATCCACAGTATCCATGAACGTACAAAGGAGTAAGTTTGGTACAGGCCAAATTTGGCCCCGATTATTAAGTTCAATGTTTCAGGATAAAACGTGTTTGAAGTTGATGAAAAGACATGTGAGAAAGTTAAATAAAACTATTTTTGCCATAATTTTATTTTCAAGCATTGAATTTTACATCCCAAATAGGTTAAAAATAGAGATTTTTGCGACATTGGAAAAAATCGTTCGGATTTCAACCAAATTAAGACCTAGGAAATATAGAGCGCAGATGTCCACAAACAAAATATTCAAGTCAAATATGTAAAATGTGTAATATGTGACAAACATTAGGCTAAAATATCTTTGTTGTCGACGCATGCGCTCTATGTTTCCTCTCCAAAATAATCAATGTAAATTTACCCGTTTTCATCGAATTTTCACGGAAATCAAAACAAGTGCTATTTGTGACGTCATGAAAAGAACGCAAAAAACATAAATTTTCAACAAAAATACTTTTTTCCCTATCTAGTCATTATATTAGCTATGATTCCTTGTGACATTGGTCAATAAATCCTAATTTCAAATATCAGCTAGAATAAGGGGCCATTTTAGGGCCTTATCGAACCTATTCCTTTTCCTCAATTCACTAAAAATTAGTGACCATTAGCGGTCACATTAGTTTTTAAAACTTTTGACTTTGGCAAAACTAAGATATCAAATATCCACGAAAATTTGTACCCACAAAAATAAATGAATCCACAGCATACTGAAATTCAAATGAATAAAGCCTATTCCAGAGAAAAAAGAGAAAGTTTACAAATCAGATGTTTTATTCCATTAAACAAGTCATTTTTTGAAGAGAAATGCCGAAATACATTTTACACGCGGCTATGCCAGGTAAAATTATTGTTTATCTTAACAAAAAAAAAACATTTTTCAGTCTCATTATAATGTTATAATTACAATTAATCCCAAACAAAAGAAGTCTGTATATAAAGTCAAAATATGTCCGATCTGCCTATTTTTGGACATCAAAATTCAATACGATGGCCAATTTTAGTCTACCTAACAAAATCTTGTTAGGCACTATAGCTGCCATTTGTCAAATTTGTTTTTTGTCAATCATATATGTTTTTACTAAGTTTTACAGAATATTGTTGACCATTTTCAGGATTAAGTTAGAGATTTAGCAAAAAGAACATCACTGTTAAGTACAATACTTGTGAGAATACAATTTGCCCAATTTTCAGTGAGAAAAGGTTAGTGTCAGCTCTCATGAATTAGGGTTGGTTGTTTTTTTTTGTCCTTACCTTTGAATATCCACACGTGTGGTGAGGATATCTAGTACCAATCTGCAGATTTTTTAGTTACCTTAGAATGTCCACACATATGATGAAGATATCTGGTACTAATCTGTAGATTTTTCAGTAACCCTTGTACATCCTCTCTGTTCGTACGGAACATGGTGTCCAGTAATGGCATGCCTTGTCTTAAAAATATCTCTATAAACTGTCTTCCACACTTTAATAGAAATACAAGGCAAACTTCAGTGAAAAAATATAATAAAACTAAATTTAGCAGGTACTAAACATTACAATCTGTAAAAATATTTTAATAAATTGAAAACTTTTGGTTTATTCTTTATAAAATTGGTGAGGGCTATCTCATAACTCTAGTAAAGCCCCTAGTCAGTGACCAAACATCAAATATGTCTATTAAGTTTAGACAGTAAACCAAAATTATTGTCATGTATTTTATTTAAATCCTTTTTTATCTCCCAGTTGTGTATAATACGCACCAAAAATCATGAAAAAAAAATTGTTAAAAAAAAATTGAAAAAATAAAATAAAACCAACTCCATGTTGATTAGGTTGTATATGATTTGTAACCAAGGGTCCGGAAACGGTCATATTTGCCAGTCATGTCCTAAGATAAAACTATTTGTCCTAAACGAGTAATTGGGATTTAGGACAAATTTTATTTTTTTACAGAAGTAATTTCGGTCATTTCATTGACTCAATGTTTGAAATCGGATTTCGTAATCGCCATTTTGCACTTGTGATCACTTGTTTTTGTTTATAATCCCTTTCCTGTAATAAAACTGCCACTACAGTAGTTTGATAATCCTGAGGGCCCTCCTAATATCTATATCAATGCCTCCGGGAAACATAGGCTAATGATCACTAATCACTTTTTACCTGTGGTTTTAATTCACACCTGACGGTGATCACAAGCTCAGAATAATATCTTTAAAACATTAAAGTTCCCTGACAAGTGTATTCATTATTTATTTACTTTTCATCAAAGACAGTCATCAATTCTGATTTAAAAATTAAATCTAAATTTACGTAGAAAAAAGTATTTTTTCATGAGTAACACATGTGCTTTATTTACTATGTAATACGCATGCGTGAAATTGTCTTCAGTAAATTTAATATTTAATTGTAAAATGCAAATTGATTTCATGCTAAATTAAACGAGTGCAACTATTATCTGCTATATTCAAACACTTTTAAAGGTAATAAAATAAAAAAGCCATAAAAAGCTGGTGATTTCCTGTCAATTTGATAAACAAAACAAATCCCGGAAATGAATCCGGAATTATTCGTACTTTAAAATATCGCAAACTTCCGGTTTTAACTTTTGTCAAATCGAAAGAAACGTAAGCAATGTCTGAGAAATTAACCATTTTGAGTCATTAAAATCATTTCAATTTTAGACTGCTGCCTTCCCTAAACTGTCCTTCATGGTAATGGTAAGACATTTACTTAGTAAATGCGATGAAACAGCAATACAAGTTCGTCATGTTCGTTGATGCTATGAATAGTCAAATTGATATTGACAATTTGAAAAGGGGCACCAACTTTTCAAACATCTCAAAATGACCGAAATTGTCTGGAAAAATTTCCGGATCCTTGTTTGTAACTACAAATTATTTTGAATAGTGAACTCTTTTATTTTGTCAGCGGCAAATAAATAGGCATATTCAGGACGAGGACATGTTCATGTATTTTGAATATTAACCCTGCTTTGTACTAGACCAACACACTGTGCTGGATTTTTATTGTGCTAGTTCAAAAGGTAACAGTTCGCGGAAGACATGTCACCTTACCCGGACACATTATTCTGACTCCGAGTCAACCAGTCATTGCTCTTACTCCTTAATGCCGTGTGCTTAGCAGAGAAGCAGCAAATACCAATTTTAAAGTCTTTGGTTTGACCCCGCTGATTTTCAAACCCTTGACCTCCTGCACCCAAGAAAATTCATATTTCCCGAGGAAATATGACTTTTCAAGGGTGAAGAAATCTTCATATCTTCATAAGCCAAGGGAAATGAATGATTTATTCCACTGCCTATACTTTGTTTACTACTAACAAAGTACCTGAACATAAAACATTAGTTTACATACATTTTTCGTAACCGCTTGTTTTCATAACTAAACAAGACATAATTTAAAACATAGATAAACAGTACCTATCAAAAGATAGCTATCTATCATTTTTGTTTTGATTTTACGTCTAAATAATTCAGAACACAATAGTGACTTTACTACCGCAATTTAAAAACGTTCAAAACGTTACTTACTTTAATCGAACGTAACGTCGCATGAGGAAGTCCTGATGTTCAGAGGGGAATATGAAGTTATGACCAATGTCTTGTGGATTAAGCTATCAAATTTAACATACAGTGGAATAATATCATAAAATCTATATGTTTAACTTAAATAAGAGTATTGCACATACCTTTAATGCTGATGTTACATTTCCTCTTCCATCAAATGCCTATAAACAGACGAAAATATTTTGCAATGATTTTGATATACATTGTAAAATTAACTATAATCATACATAAAAGGAATAACACTCTTGTCAACAGATACATTCATACTATTCTTAATTCAAAATTGAAAATAACTGTCTATAGACTGCTATAATAAACAAGTACATATGCATAAAAAAGCTCTTAAACATGTAAACCCTTTGTATGCTTACAAATAAGGTAAAATTGTAAAAATGTTCTGTCTTCCGTTTCTTGTATATAGTAAACTCTAAATATTATTCCAATCACTGCTCCCACTCCCCATACAATTGTTTTAGCATTAACAGTACATATTTCCATCAATATTTGTTGGTTATATTTTTATAGGTACAAACCTTTATCAAATTTATATGGATATGTAATATTCTGACAGCTTGATTCCACTGTAGCAGCTTGTCTATCTTCACCTAAAACAGATAATATTCATTTTGAATCCAATAGCTACACAGAATTAACACATTTCCTGATATAAATCTATAATAAAATGCTCCGCTGGGGCGCAGCTTGATACGACCGCAGAGGTCGAACCCTGAACAGTTGGGGCAAGTATGGACACAACATTCAAGCTTGATACAGCACTGAATTTGGATTGTAATTAAATATTTGACACAGCATAGGTTTCTCACACAGAATGAAAGTAGTCTAAGAACTTAAAATTTTTTAATTTACCTATTCAAACCATATCATTATTATTTGCTTTTATATATAAATCAGAAATAACCAATTTAAAATGGAAAATTTTAAAGAAAAAAAAGGAAAAAAAAATCCCCCCCCCCCCAAATTTTTTGAAACCCCCTTATGATTCATCACCCCCAAACTCAATCCAAGCCTTCCCTTTGTGGTATGGTACCTTGCAGTACAATTTCAGAGAGATCCATACACTTGAACACAAATTATTGTCTGGAAACTAGAAAAATGCTTGGGTTTTTTGCACCTTTTTGGCCCCAAATTCCTAAAAGTTTAGGGCAATTACCCCCAAACTCAAACCCAGCTTTCCCTTTGTGATATGGAACCTTGCAGTACAATGTCATAAAGATCCATACACTTACAAACAAGTTATTGTCATGAAACTAGAAAAATGCTTGTTTTTTTGCCCCTTTATGGCCCCTAATTCCTAACATTTTGAGACAATTACCCCCAAAAACAATCCCAGCCTTCCCTTTGTGGTATGGTACCTTGCAGTACAATTTCAGAGAGATCCATACACTTGAACACAAGTTATTGTCTGGAAACTAGAAAAATGCTTATTTTTGGCCCCTTATTCCTAAACGTTTTGGGCAAGTACCCCCAAACTCAATTCCAGCTTTCCCTTTGTGATATGGAACCTTGTAGTACAATTTCATAAATATCCATACACTTACACACAAGTTATTGTCATGAAACTAGAAAAATGCTTGTTTTTTGCCCCCTAATTCCTAAAATTTGGAGGCAATTACCCCCAAAATCAACCCCAGCATTCAAACCCTCAATCAGCATCATTTAACAGTAATATCTAAAAATGGAAATTACATAATAAAGGTATTAAAATAGAAAATGACATCATAGTCATGGCTAAAAATAAACAAAATCCTTAATCAGCAACATTTTACAGTAATATCTAAAAATAAAATTCCTTTGTAACCATAAAAGCCCATTTAAATACATCATGACAGATATTAAAATAGAAAATGACATCATAGTCATGGCTAAACATAGCAAAAACCTTAATCAGCATCATTTAACAGTAATATCTAAAAATAAAAATTTCTTTGCAACCATAAAAGTAAAATAGAAAATGACATCATAATCATAGCTAAAAATAAACAAAATTTTTTTTTATTACCAAATTTTAAATGGAGTTTATTAAACTAAAACAATAAATTTGCAACCATAAAACCCCATTTAAACACATCATAAAAGTATTAAATAATTCAACTACATCATAAGGCTATAAAAATAGAAAATGACTTCATAGTCAAGGCTAAAGGTAAACAAAAAACCTTCATCAGCAAAATTTTATATTGGCAAATTTCCAATGAAGTTTATTATACTAAAATTGTTGGCAAATTTCCAATGCATTTATTAACAATAAAGTTATTGGCAAATTTCCAATTTACATAATTTAAAAGCAGTGTAAGTGAGATATTTAAATGAGTTTGAATTACCAACCTTACACTGCTTTTAAATAATGTTTTGTACTTATTTGTCTATTAACCTGGAAACCCTTGTTTTTTCACCTTTTTTTCCCTTATTATTTAAAGGTTTGAGCCATAACCCTACCCCAAAGCCAATTCTTAAATTCCAATGTAACCTAAATTTACAATATACATAACTTCAATTTAAGTTTTTGATAAAATCAAACCACATCATTATTATTTGCTTTTATATCTAAATCAGAAATAATTAACCAACTTTAAGTGGAAAATTTTCACACATCACGCCCCCCCCCAAACTCAATCCCAGCCTTCAGTTTGTGGTATGGTACCTTGCAGTACAATTTCACAGAGATCCAATTACTTAAACACAATTAATTGTTGGAATCTAAAAAAAAATGCTTATTTTTAACCCCTTTTTTAGCCCCTTATTCCTAAACATTTGAGCAATTATCCCCCAAACTCAATTCCAACTTTCTCTTTGTGATCAGAATTAACCAACTTAAAATGGAAAATTTTAAAGAAAAAAAAAAGGAAAAAAAATCCCCCCCCCCCCCCCCCAAAAAAATTTTTTGACCCACTTCCCTTTGTGGTATGGTACCTTTAAGTATAATTTCAGAGAAATCCATACACTTGAACACAAGTTAATGTCTGGAAACTAAAAAAATGCTTATTTTTGCCCCCTTTTTTGGCCACTTATTAATAAATGTTTTGGGCAAACATTTTACAATAATATTTAAAACTGAAATTAATTTGTAACCTTAAAATTAAATAGAAAATGACATCATAGTCATAGCTAAAAATAAACAAACTATTGGTAAATTTCCAATGGAGTTTATTATATTAAAACAATAAATTTGCAACCATAAAAGCGCATTTAAATACATCATAAAAGTATTAAAAAATATTTAACTACATCATAAGGCTATTAAAATAGAAAATGACATCATAGTCAGACTAAAGGTAAACAAAAAACCTTCATCAGCAAAATTTTATATTGGCAAATTTCCAATGAAGTTTATTATACTAAAATAATTGGCAAATTTCCAATTTACATAATTCAAACATAGTGCAGGTGAGATATTTAAATGAGTTTGAATTACCAACCTTACACTGCTTTTAAATAATGTTCTTTGCTCAATTATTTGTCTATTAAAATGGAAACCCTAGTTTTTTAACCTTTTTTCCCCTTATTCCTTAAACGAAAAAAAATAATTACCCCTTTTTTGACCCCCCCCCCCCCCCCCATGATTCATCACCCCCCCTTCCCCCCCAAACCAAGCTCAGTAACAGCCTTGCCTTTTGGTATGGTACCTTGTAATACAATTTTAGAGAGATCCATACACTTGAACACAAGTTATTGTCTAGAAACTAAAAAATGCTTATTTTTCACCCCTTTTTAGGCCCCTTATTACTAAACGTTTTGGGCAATTACCACAAAACTCAATTCCAGCTTTCCCTTTGCGAAATGGAACCTTGTAGTAAAATTTCAGAAAGATCCATACACTTACACACAAGTTATTGTCATGAAACTAGAAAAATGCTTGTTTTTTGCCCCCTTTTGGCCCCTTGTTCCTAAAATTTCGAGGAAATTAACCCCAAAATCAATCCCATCATCGACCCTTTGTGATATGGAATCTTGTAGTACAATGTCAAAGAGATCCATACAATAACACACAAGTTATGTCTGGAAGTTACAAAAATGCTTATTTTCGGCCCCTTTTTGGCCCCTAATTATTTAACTGTTGGTACCATAACCCCCAAAATCAATCCCCACCTTCCTATTGTGGTATTGAACCTTATGGTAAAATTTCATAGAGATCCATTCACTTAAACTAAAGTTAGAGTGCGAAAACCATTGTGTATTCGGACGACGACGCCAGACGACGACGACGACGACGACGCCAACGTCATACCAATATACGACCACAAAATTTGTTTGCGGTCGTATAAAAAACACATGATCTGATTGATTAATACCTGCTTATTGTCCAGTGACAAATATCATATACACATCAAGGTTTGACACAAACAGCTGTCCAATTGCCAAAGACAAGTTAAGGTGAAGGTGAAGGTACAGTAAATTGGCAATGTCATATTTTGGTAAAATTTTGCATACAACGTTAGCTCGCATCTGATTCCAAAGTCGGATAAATAGACAAGGAGATGTAAATCTTAAAAATGTTGACACAGAGATATGTCTCGCCTTCATATTATTTTGATAGTTTAATGCAAATGTTGAAATTAAATGACAATACTTTAACATGTTCACTATGCAAAACATTCAAAATCAATGAACCATGGGTAAAGGTGCAAGGCCAAATAACCTCTGTGGAAATTAGAAATGACAATGACAATACAACTGCATACCAAATACTTATCACAAGTGGTTGTCTTTAAACTGACCTAAACACAAACTTTAACATGTCTTACTATGCAAACATTTCAAAGTCAATAAAACCTTGATAGAGGGATATAATCTCTAAGGAAATGAGACATGCAAATTTGGATTTTATCTGAACTTTTAGGAATTCTAACTTTTTTACATTTCTGCTCTCATGATTGACAATAAATACCTCTCTAGAATCTGTTTGCTTTGCTGGTGCCATAGTTTTTATACAATCAATCAACTGATTAAACATAACCCTGTAGAAAGTTGAAAAGGATGATCTGTTTAATGTGGGAAAGGTGGCTGAGCAGCCATTTTTATCTGTTTCCAAGAGCTCAGGCATTCCTTTAGTTGCTATGGTTTCAGCTGCAGATAATGGGTCATCTGAGTACACCATAAATGCTCTGAAAAACATATGTTAAAACAAAGTGAGGTAAAAAATTGAAATCATAAAATAATTAACATAAACAAAAAAAATCATGTTTTTGGTAAAATGCAAATTGCAATTGCTTTACAATTGGAAAAAAATCAGATATCACAAAAAAAGTTATTTCAGAAAGACTGGTCGTATAGTCACCTCGTCTACAAGCAGTACCTATTTGGTGCAATGATGTGAAAAGTAACAAAATCATGTTATGTCTTCAATAGACAATTATAGTGTGAGTAAAATCATGGTAAAAGTAAAGAGACATTAACTTCAGAAATTTGTATGTGCAGCAAACAACAATCAATCAACCATGAAAATTAATTAATTACCGTAGAAAGGCTTGTATAGTCCGCGGTTTTATTCTCCAAAATTGGACCTTCCAGACGGGGTGCGGACTATAGAGTACAATAAGCAAGAAATAAGAGTAAAATTTCAATTTCGCGGGCGAGGTGGTTTGTTTACGTTCCGCCATCTTTGTTATTTATATTGTAGAGGGCGCTCTTATCATTTTTCAAACTAATAGTTTTAACTCATCCATATTAATAAGTTATTTCTATTTAATATCAAATTATTACTGATAAATTTAAAAACTAAACCTTTCATTACAAATTTCTCGTTTCTTTTCAATGCATTGGTTGAAATAAACTGGTATCTGCTTGATTGAAACTATTCAAACATAGTGAAAAAGACAACCGTAAACCAGCTTAGAATTTGTAAACTACAAAACGTCATCGGTTATTGTTCGTTCCGTTTTGGTGTTTCATACTGACTAATATGGTTTGTATTAGCTTAAGACCCTTCAAACATTAATGTGATAGATATATTAAAGACTGTTTTACAAAAGGATGGAACTGTTTTACTTTCAAAGTCGTATTATAGTAATATCTGTTATGTACGGATTTCGACTCTCACCGGTTAATTTCTTCTTTTACACATGCTTTTTAAACTTCCTGTTTAAACATACACAAGTTTCTAAATTGTTTTTTAAGTGAATTAAACTTATTTTAACAATCATGAAGCGTTTTAGAATCATTTACAAGCAGTTTCAGCTTCTGTTTGATGATGGAAAACAGGTTTTTCCATGAAAATACCGCAAACGACCGCACAGGATTTGAAATTACCGGAGTTTCATTAGACCTTTTCTAACAGTTACAAAAAGTTTTTTTACCTAAAATTTCGTGGGGAGAAGGGGGTGCGGACTATGTACCAGTGCGAACTATACAAGCCTTTCTACGGTAAAAAGGAAACAGAATGAATTCCAGACCTAATCTGTATACTCTTAATGTAAATCAAAAATTCATAAACTAATGCATTGTTTAACTGTAGTTCTCTATCTTACCTTATTATTATCTGTAAATTTTCATTATATTTAACACCTTTTTCTTTTTGTCCATCTGCAGACATCCATTCCCTTTTCAAAAATTCCTCACAAATTTTTGCTGTAAAAATAACAAAGTAGAAAGTTAGAACAGCTTAACTATGCTCATCTAACCACATACTGATGGATAGTCCCTGTCATACCTAAAACTGCCACTTAAAAGAGACATAATTAACTAGAATTTTAGAAAATAACTAAATACTGATTACATCAAAAGGTTAAAAAAAAAAAAAACTAAATTCATGGTGATGACATTTCAATAGTAAAATCTATAAAAAGTCAATGGCACTCTACCAAAAAGATTTAAAATTCATTACTTTATTTCTATCAGATTTACCTATTTGTCCAATAAGAACTCCAGAGTCAGATTTACCTATTTGTCCGATAAGAACTTCAGAGTCAGATTTACCTATTTGTCCATGAAGATCTCATGAGTTAGGTTTACCTATTTATCCATGACGATCTCTGGAGTCAGATTTATGTATTTGTCCATGAATATACCATGAGTCAGACTTATGTAATTGTCCATGAAGATCTCATGAATCAGACTTAGGTATTTGTGCATGATGATCTCATATGTCAGACTTACATATTTGTCCATGAATATACTATGAGTGAGACTTATGTAAAAGTCCATGAAGATCTCATGAGTCAGACTTAAATATTTGTCAATGAAGATCTTATGAGTCAGACTTACGTATTTGTCCATGAAGATCTCTGGAGTCAAACATACATACTTGTCCATGAAGATCTCATGAGGCAAACTTTTGTATTTGCTAATGAGGATTTCTGAAAGTTAGACTTCAGTATTTGTCCATAAAGAACTGAGGAGTCAAACTTATGTACTCTTTATGTCAAACTTACCCAATGAATATATCATTAGGTAAACTTATGTATTTGCCAATGAAGATCTTTGGGAATTAGACTGATGTATTTAGCCAATAGTGTCAAATTACATACTTGTCTTACATGTAAGTCCATGGTGATCTTATGAGTCAGAAAAACATATTTGTCAATGAAGATCTTACGAGTCAGAAAAACATATTCGCCAATGAAGATCTCTTGAACAGACTTACATATTTAATAATGAAAATCTTATTTATTTCTCCATAAAGATTTCTGTAGTCAAACTTACGGATTTGTCCATGAAGATCTCTGGAGTCAGATTTATCTGCTAATACAGTTAATAACTTAACAACACTGACAGCTGTAGTTATGTTTGGTACCATGTCTGCAAAATTCTTAATGTACTGAAACGATGTCCTGAAAAACATGAAAAAATATTGTAAGTTTTATCCACAATAGCATTCCATTTGTCCTCTATAATTTTAAAATTAAGGCAAATCAATAATTTACTAATCCAATTAATTGTTTAATTTCAAGTTATTTGTTTAGAGGAGTAACAATAACTCATTCTTGAAAATCATCATTAAATAAAAATAAGGTGAGTTCATACTAATTTAAAAATAAAAGTACTGACAAAGCATCCTATGGTTTATGCAAACTGTATATATAAGAACCAATTTATTTTTACATAACTTAATAAAAATTTTAATAAAATGTATCTTCCTATTTTCCTTTTTTTTCCCCCCAGCTGACCATTCATGAATGTAAACAATACTCATCACAAAAAAACTGTCAAATTTCAGGTAACAGCACACATCTTATTTAAACAAATCCTATGATTCCATGCCCTACATGTAAACAGTTAACAAAAAAATATTCTTTTTTAACAATTAAGTGATATTCCGTTTCATTTTTAAGAAAAGACTGCACAATTGTGATAGTAACATACTTAATGAGATCCTGCCTAGATAATTGTGTAGAACCAGAGGTTGTTTTGATCCTTGATACTAATGTTCCAAGTCCTTCTTTAAACAGTGACTTGTTATCTGACATCAGAAATCCATTCCTGTAAAAATATATAATATATGGAAAAATTTTATACTTATGAATAACAGATGTGGGGTAAATAAGTCTGCAGGTAAACACAAGTCATAGGAAACTGAAGTTGCATAGAATTTATTGATATGATTACAGGAAACACCCCTTACATCTGCCCCTTGCTGACCCTGGAGGTGACTGTTATAAGACTGCAAAAATTTGCGTCGTCGTCTTCCAAAGACATTTGGTTTCCAGACAATAACTTGAGTTATAAGTGTATGGATCTCTAGGAAATTGTACCACAAAGTTCCATACCACAAAAGAAAGGTTTGGATTGATTTTGGGGGTTATGGCCTTTTCCGTTAAGAATTTTGGGCCAAAATGGGGCCAGAAGCAAACATTTTTCTGGTTTCCGGACAATAACTTGAGTATAAGTGTATGGATATGTATGAAATAGTATCACAAGGTTCCATAACACAAAAGGAAGGTTGGATTGAATTGGTGGGTAATGGTCATATCCGCTTAGGAATAAGGGGCCAAAAAGGGGTAAAAAAAGCAAATTCTTAAAAATGTTTGAATTGCTTATTTCCGACCAATTTCAATGGGGTTTAAATTATTTTGAAATATTGGGGTTCTTTGATATGCTTTATCTTACCATGTATTTAGAATTCTGTTTTTGGGTTGTGTTTTCAAGTGGGTCCAAAATTAGACTTCAACTGATTTCAATATGCTGAATCTAATAATGTATATAGATTTTTGACTTTTGGCCCATTTTTCAAATTAGATATAAGAAGATGTAGTATGAGTGCCAATGAGACAACTTTCCATCCAAGTCAAAATTTATAAAAGTAAACCATTATAGGTCAAAGTACGTCTTCAACACGGAGCCTTGGCTCACACTGAACAGCAAGCTATAAAGGGCCCTAAAAATTACTAGTGTAAAACCATTCAAATGGGAAAACCAACGGTCTAATCTATATAAAAAACGAGAAACGAGAAACACTTATGAACCACATCAACAAACGACAACTACTGAACATCAGATTCCTGACTTAGTCCACATCAGGGTCCAAAGGGTCCAAAATTAAACTGTCTGATTTCAACAAAAATTGATTGGTAGGGGTTTTTGCTATGCTGAATTGCTTATATTTAAACATTTTCATTTGTTTGGTTTTTTTTACATTAAGATTAACCACCCTTACAATCTTTTAGCTTATAATTTATGTCTTCTCTTTTACAATCCCATAAACCACAATTTTATCCCATATTATTTTCCTATTTTGCAAAACAATTAAAAAAATCTTCAGTTCATTAAAATTTAATTCTATTAGCCTTTTAACTTTGATATAATTTTTATTCTGCATTTCATTTTCACTAATTCATTCATTACTAAAATTGCTAAATTATCAATATTAATTTCTAAATGCTAACAGTTTAAGGGGTAAATTCAGTAAAAAAATCTCCCATTGACTTTAATGCTAATCTATGTCTTGAATTAAATTTATACCTGATTTACCTTTAGAAATTGGAAGCTTTCATATATCATTCATGAAAGTACAAATGTAGCCCTATCTTTTGCAACAATAAAAACATAGGGTCATGTGGCATTTTTGGGCATTCACATGGCCTTGTTTACAAACACTGTAGATTCACCCTTAATTCCTTTACTGACCCCCATTACTTTTCAACCCTGCAGTAAAAAAATTTAGTACATTCAGCATTCATTTTTTAATTTATTTAACTCTAGTTTTGATCCATCCATCAAAAAATATTTATTACAAACATTATCTACCAATCAGAAGAGCACAGGACTTCAGTTTTGTACAGAAAGCTCTCCCCCAAATGGGCGGTCCCTGATGACGTATATTTATTTACTGAATTTACCCCTATAAGGGTCTTTTTAACTTCTTTTCCTATTTTTGTTGTATTAATCATGTTATGTGTCCAATTTTCAAGTTCCAGTTTCAATGCAACATTCATAAAGGCTCAACTTGTAAAGAGGGAGGAAAATTTATACTACAGCCCATACTGCGGCCAATGTATATTTGGTATATAAAGTTGCGCATTGACTGTTTTTAAAAGAATGGTGTAAAATACTATGCTTAATAAATATGAAATGTTTTCTGTGTTTGCTTTGATCAGTATTGCAAGTACATCTAGGAACTAAAGTCTTGATGTACTCTTAGTTTAATTTTGCCTTATATGGAAGATTTTAATTAAATACCCTGAAAAAGACTTTTCAAAGGTTTTTTAAGCAGTTTCATACCATAAAAAACAACAATTATGTTTCATTTTACTAAATCTGTGTTTTAATTACTTGTAAATTTCACAAAATGTCATTGAGAACTACTCTGCAGAAATTCCTGTTACCCCAACATCTGGATGGTTTATTCGCCAAAACTAGGCGGACAAAACTGAAGTAGAAAAAAGTGCCAAATATGAAAAAAATAAGACTGGGTATGACCAAACTTTGCATTTGGAACATAAAAGTAACAATTAAGAATATTAAAAAGCAATTATTTAACATAGCAATCCAATTACAAACATTTCAACACTGGTTTTATAGATGAAGGGTATATAATCATGAAAAGTTGTCTAGTATTTTTTTTTACTTAAAGAAACGCAATGAATTATGTAAAAATAAATGAATATCTTCATACGGTCAGATTATTAGAGTGTTAAAATACTTGAAAAGTGTTTATTTACAACATGATCTACAACTTAACATGGGGAACACAGCTAAAAAAAATACACTATGTCAAAGGGAGGTAATTCTTATTTTCCATATGATTTTACACATTATTAGGAGAAATATGTGCAAAATGTGATTTAAAGTGGGGAGAATATTTATGCCTTTTAATAATATCATAACTCTCAAGTGTAATTTCTATTGTTTCTTTCAATCTGGACACAAAACTGATTTTTTACCATATACCCCATGCTTCCTCCCACAGTACACTCAGAGCATCCTGGATAGCCGCGGTTAAACATAGAAATTTGTATAAAAACAACTTTAACTGGTTCCAAAAGGCTTCGATTGCATTAATATTTACAGGAAATGAGTTTTGTGATTATTGTGTGGCCTTGAACAAGTACAGTGACAGAGTGCATATTTTCCTATAGGGGTAAATTCAGCAAAAAATCTCCCATTGACTTTAATGCTAATCTATGTCTTGAATTAAATTTATACCTGATTTACCTTTAGAAATTGGAAGCTTTCATATATCATTCATGAAAGTACAAATGTAGCCCTATCTTTTGCAACAATAAAAACATAGGGTCATGTGGCATTTTTGGGCATTCACATGGCCTTGTTTACAAACACTGTAGATTCGCACTTAATTCCTTTACTGACCCCCATTACTTTTCAACCCTGCAGTTAAAAAAATTTAGTACATTCAGCATTCATTTTTTAATTTTTTTTAACTCTAGTTTTGATCCATCCATCAAAAAATATTTATTACAAACATTATCTACCAATCAGAAGAGCACAGGACTTCAGTTTTGTACAGAAAGCTCTCCCCCAAATAAGCGGTCCCTGATGACGTATATTTATTTACTGAATTTACCCCTTAACAATGTCAAGAAAAGTGAATTCCCTCCCCTTTCCCACCATCCAGTCACAATATGTTTAAAACTTCATTCATTACCTGATGACAAATTAACTACAACTACCATACACATCCATCTGTACCCCATTTGTAGCAATAATCAAACACAAAAAAAATATTAATTAATATAATAAAAGGTTTCCTACCAATTACAGCTTAAACTAAATTCCTTTATGGAGCATTTTAAAAACTAAGCTTTATTGTCCATTAAAAATTTAAATTCTTGGTGTACTTGGATATGCTGAATCTAACCATGTATTTAGATTTTGGATATTGGACCATAATAGGTAAATGTCCAATTTCAAATTTTTCAGTTCTTTATTTGTATCAAGCTTGAATGTAGTGTCCATACTTGCCCCAACTGTTCAGGGTTCAACCTCTGTGGTCGTATCAAGCTGATCCTGGGGAGCATTTTATGGATTTCGTGCAGAATTATAAATTTATTATATCAGTCACGGCTGGTAATCTACACACGCAGAACAATCGGTTCTGCAATGAAAACCGTGAGAGGATTTTCCGGTTATGCTTGAGTGGAGTAATTGTCACCGCTTCAAAAGGTATGTACATTTCTAAATCGCAATTTTCTAATTCAACTGATCAAAATATTGAAAATCGGAGAATGCTATGCTGTGGTGAATACTTTAACGAAGAGAACCATGTATAGTTTATTGTTGTGCATGGAGTAAAACTCCTACAAAATCAATCGTTCCACGAGTAATTGCCGAAAAAAGTGACATTTAAATTTTCAGATGGTTCTATTGACAGACCTAAGTTCAGATTTAGTTTTTTTTCTGTCAACGGGATTGAATGTCGTTTTGGGCGGCGTGTACGCTGTCCGAAGTTGATAGACGTCTTAATAAATCTAAAAACTGCCAATTTTCATTATTTCATGCGTGAGGGGATTGGTTCTGATTGAGGACATCGTGAATGCGTGAGGGGAAGTGCAATCATATCTTTATATCGAAAAATGCAATAATCACTTCAAAGAAAGGCAAGTAACTTGCATAGTTTTATTGAAGTTCATACTAAATATAAATTGACAATGGAAATGGAAATGGCTACAACGTAAATATAAGTGATTTAGATTTATGATTGACTATGTTTTTTTCTCATGTGCATGTATTAAGACTTTAATCTATGTTTTAGATGGATTGAACACGCCACTATTGCCTATAAAAACACACTAGACACAAAGTGCAGCTACTGTGACAAGACTTTTTCATCTAAAGATAATAAAAGAAGTTAAAAATTCCTCCTGACAATCATTTGTGTTACACTGAAAAGGCTTGGCTCCCATGCGGACCACAGATTCATGCCTTCTTTTATTATCTTTAGATGAAAATGTCTTGTCACAGTAGCTGCACTTTGTGTCTAGTGTGTTTTCATGTACCAGCTTTGCATGGAAGTTCAGCTTTGGACGTTGAGTTTATGACTTATCACACTGCAGGCAATGGTGGCGTGTTCAATCCATCTAAAACATAGATTAAAAGTCTTAATACATGCACACGAGAAAATCAATCATAAATCTAAACCACTTATATTTACGTTGTAGCCATTTCCATTTCCATTGTCAATTTATATATTTAGTATGAACTTCAATAAAACTATGCAAGTTACTAGCCTTTCTTTGAAGTGATTATTGCATTTTTCGATATAAAGATATGATTGCACTTCCCCTCACGCATTCACGATGTCCTCAATAAGAACGGATCCCCTCACGTATGAAATAATGAAAATTGGCAGTTTTTAGATTTATTAAGACGTCTATCAACTTCGGACAGGGTACACGCCGCCCAAAACGACATTCAATCCCGTTGACAGAAAAAAAAACTAAATCTGAACTTGTAGTTCTGTTAATAGAACCATCTCAAAATTTAAATGTCACTTTTTTCGGCAATTACTCGTGGGACGATTGATTTTGTGTAGATTACCAGCCGTGCAGTTTCTAAATCTTTTTATATCACAGGTAAAAAGCACATTGAAATCATATGCACATTTACATATTTACAAGTCCATTCTGGCAGAGTATTTGAAGGCTACATTTCTAATATGCTGGAACTATGTAATAACACCTCTATCATACATCTGTTACTTTTCAAGAAAAAAGTCCATTTTTTATCTTTCAGATGCTAGCACATGAAGAGATCTGATTTTGACATTTGTTTGTTCTTCAATTTTCTTGATATCATCCATGAAAATGTAAATAGTTGGATGGTGCAAATAAAACTCTTTATTTTGAAACGAATCATTATATTTATCAAAGTTGTACATATATCCATACAAGTTTGCTGTGTTTTAAGGAACATGTGTTTATAGTATTTATTGATAGGTCTGTTTGATTGGCTATCTAAAAGAATACAGTAGAATTTCATGCACAGGTAGTTTGTTAGTAGTTTACCGGTAAGTTATTTGAGTCATTGCAGTCAAGTGTGCTTAGGAGGCTTTATTCCAGATAAATAATATTTATAAAAATTATCTATTTACAGGTTGATTGTCCAAGAAATATTAAAGTGCTATTCCAGGACAGACATTTTTCATTGAGATAAAATGAAATACATTTATTATCTGAATAAAAAATTGCACTTGACTTTTGCAAGTGGCTACACCCATATTCCAGTTTTGATAAGGACTATTATATACTCATTAAACACCACTTATCTGTTGCCTTTGGATTAACCAAACAGTGATTATCGAAATTGGATCAGATTTTCCTTGAAAATGAAAATTTTGTTATGGTTGAAATTTATTTTTTTTTTACTCTAAAATTGTCAAAATATGTCATAAGCCTAGGTTATTTCATCAAATTAAGACTTGAAGTAACTTTTAAGTTTCAAGTTCTCAGAAGTATTTAACTCTTCAAATAAAGCCTTTAAATCATTGTTTTTCAAATTTAATTTAAGATGAAAACTATAGACTTTAAAACTTCAAAATTACATATAAAAAATACTGAAAACTGTCAGAAATGTTCACACAAAAATATCTAAAAAAAAACTTTACATTTGTACACTATTAAATTGATCTCTTATACTTTAGATTTAAAACAGATTTGTCCCGTTTTCCAGTTAATCTCAGATTTCCAAGGTTAACATTTTCTATTTTATAACAATTAATCCAACTTCCCTATGTTAACAACTACACATCTATTACATGTACTTACATATGGAATGGGTGAAAACACATACTTTTAAAAGGTTGTAAAAAGATGAAATCCAATACAAAGACTGATGAAATTCCCAGTAAAACATCAACAACTTCCTATTACCCATATACAATTAATTACAATGAGAACAAATTTCAATGGGTCTGTAGGGTCCAGAACTTGAGCATTTCTACATTTCTCAATATATATAAGCATGACTTGGAGAGAGCTTGAAGCAGGTTTCATTCAAAAATTACAAAAGACACATACTGTCACCATATCTCAGACAAGAACAGAGAACAATCAGTCATGTAAATATCTTAAAACTAGAGGTACTGCAAGATTTAAAGTGTACAGATATGACGAAGTCCATGTTACCCCAAAGTAAACCCCAAAAATCATTCAGCATAAGAAATGAAATAGATAAAAAAAAGTTCTTCATGTGAGTAAAATTAATTGGAAGTTTCAGAAAGATTCTGTCAAGGTGTTTAGGAGAAGTTGTGGATACTAAAGTGGGACAGAAGGACTTTTAAATGAATGAATGAATGAACAAAGGAATGAAAGGATGGACAGATTCCCCATCAAAATATACCACATGCTTTGGAATTCAGGGGATATAATAAAGAGTAATTGCATTTTATATGTCTATGGAAAGTTTGTTTTTACGTTTTCATACACATAATGAAAACAATAAGATATGACCTGTTACAGTATAGGAAAAAATAAGCCATCACCATTGCAATGATGGCCTTGTGACTTTAAGTATATCTAACACTTACCATGAGAACAGAGAACACATTGTCTGGAGAATTAACTGGAAACAAGATGCCATCAGTAAGGATTCAGGACTATTAAAACCTGGACCATCGATCATTCCATCATTCTCAGCAATCATAGTCTAAAAAAAATATGTCAAATACGATAAATAATCAAACTTTTGTCACTGATAAAGATATGTGATTTAAATACTATTCAAAAAACGAATGCATCTTTTGAAGTGCTAAGCAACCTTTAAATGTAAAACTGCAGACTAAATATGACGTTATTCTGTTCAGTAGTACTTTAGAAAAGTTGGATAACAAATTATAGGTTGAATCAATATTCTGTGGATTCATTAATTCATGGAATACATGTACCAATTTTTGTGGGTTTCATGGGTAAATTTAAACCACAAATTCAAATGTTCAACGAAGTATTAATTTTCTATAGGCTTGTATGCAGACTTTAATTAGCAAAACCATGAAATCAAATAGCCAAGAAAATATCATTTTTCCTCAATCTGAGAAAAATTGGTAACCACAAAAATAAATGATATATATAATTTTTAATCAAAATTCTGAGAACAGTGAAAAAAAATCCATATTTTCACACCACTTTTCATGTAAATGCTTAACATATGTAACCTATTTCATAATTTTTTAATTGATTGTATATACATGATATATGGATTTATGAATCCTACATACATAACATTTTTGATATCCAGATGCAGTTTAAATACTTAGAAATGCATACAAAATTTTATAAAAAATCTGATATATTACCCCATTACGTATACTTTGCTTTAAAAAGCAAAATATTGGGCAAAAAGATCATATTGTAAAGTGGTTTTACTAAAACTGCAAGTATAATAATAAATACGTCTAAACTGTATGAATTTGTATTGATGACTAAAGTACAAGATAACGTCATAAGTATATGACGTTAGAAACAATAATACCGCGTTACGGTAACGTATTCTTCTGTGAGTGATTTCCAACATTCTCCGGCCCATAAAAAGTGAAAATTTACATGTTTTAAAATAGTTAAAGTTTCTCTGTTAAAATAATAATATGAAATTAACTTTAAAGTCAATCATTAGATGAAAACTTTTATCACAGTTTGTAATAGTACGGTGTCACATTTATTTAACATTCTTTTTTTCTGGTAAGTTTCTCCCTGTAGTCCAATTCCTGATATAGTTTAACCCTTTCCCGTCGAGTGTATCCTTGAGGATACATAATGCGCAGGGCAGATGTATCCTGAAAGATACACGGTGCGCAGGGCGAGTGTATCCTTCTGGATACAAAAATATTACCCCAATAAAAGCCGCGAGTTTACGCGGTTTACCATTCTTGACAGTTCAATTCAACGTTTCAATTAAAATCTACTATATCTGAAGATATTATTTCAGTTATTTCAACAGCTTTAATAACATCGTGAAGGTAAATAAATCAAATCGGAAAATTTTATTTTCTAAAATAAGAACCGGAAACAATTTACAAGGTCATGTGGTGTTTCAAAATGGCTGCTCTCGATAACAAACAGTGGAAGTACAGCTGTTTTCTGTGTTTTGATGAAGCCCTTTATAACTCTTAGGTAGTTTAAGCTATATAATAAAAATAAATAGTTCATTATATCTTAAAGAATTATGGTAGCGATCTTTTTAAAGCCTTCCCCCCCCCCCCCCCCCACAAATCGGCACAAGACAGGTAAGTTTTTCGCTTTACTAAAAAAAAAAATCCCTGATTTCGAGGGAACAGAAATTGGGTTGGAAATGTACGGGAAAATGATTGAACAGAAAATGTTTCGATTTTCCAATTCTTTGTAAATCGTCGTAAATATCCAAGTATTTTTTTTGTTGATTGTCTCTTATCCACATTAATGCTGATCTGTCGATTTCATTTATGGTCAACGGACTAGTGGTCCATTGTTTTGTCCTACAATTTTGAATAAATCTAATAATGTAGGCAGTTACATGTAATAATTTCTTGTAAGTGTCAAACCTTGAAATGTCTACAATTCCAGAAATATGTTCAATGTTGTTAGTTTTCCTCTCTGTTTTATCTTCTGTTGTCTGTGTCTCTTCTTTTCCTCTTATACTTGTAAAAATTTGTGTTTCATTGATTGGACGGGAAGTTCCTATGAGTGGTCCTGAGAGTAGGTATCCTAGTTTGCACCTTACTGCTGTTGGTCCCTCGCCCCTAATGATCTCATCCTCGACCATATCCCAGTATTGGTCAGCTCCAACAAGCAGTCCAATATCAAACGTTTCATCCTCAGTAACGGCGTGTGCTAATCTTAAGTTTCGCAAATACAGCAACTGTTTTGCATTTTCAATGTTAGTCTTTACTGGGGCGGCTGTTTTAGGTACAATTAAAACATTGACTGGTATTTCTTTGCCAAAAATAGTTTGTATCTTCACTGTTGCTGTGTTTAGCTGTTTAATAGGGTTGTTCATATCCACATCTCCAAATCTAGATAAGGTGATTGCTTCACTTCCTGTGGGTCTTAACTCCAATTTCTCTGCTAAATGACTGGTTATAAATGACCTTTGGGCGCCTTCAAAGGATATTCACGTCAATCGTTTGTCCTTTGTAGCTTAGTGGTGCAATTGCGGTCTTCAACACAACATTTGGGCGACTATAGTTTAATGATGAATAAAGAACAGATGTCTCAGATTCCTCCACGTTGTGTGTTTGTACTGTACATGTACTACTTGTACTTGTAGTTTCCTTATTTTGATCATCGCTGCATAAGCTTGTGTGGTGATGTCTATTACACTTCTTGCAGTTTGATGTAGACTTGCAATCTGCTACAATGTGTTGCCCTAAGCCATTAATGCATAATCTATCTTCTTTTACAATTTTCATGCATTCGTTGTGATCTGTATATTTAGTACATTCAGACGAAAATGGGGTTCCTTGCAAAATGCGCAGCTTATTGAATTTGATTTCTGTGTTAAATTGGTTTTTGGCCAGATTTTACGCGATTTTGTGTTTGTGTAGAACGTAGCTGAAGTGTATATCACTTGGCATTTTGTCGAGTATGACTGGTACCAATAACTAGCTGTACGAGTCTTGAGCTTGTCCCAGAGATTCTAATCCTCTTATGTATGTTTCTGTCCATGTCTTAGTAACTTCTGAGGTGTGTTAACGTATTTTTTGGTCCAGATATGTCTAGTAGTGCCTGCATGTACGATTGAATCATCTTATGCTTTTGTCCGAATCTTTCATGTATAAGTTCAATAGCTTTGTTGTAGTTTGTGTGCAAAAGAGCAAAACCTGCAATGGTGTTTGACGCTTCTCCTTCTAGTAAAGGCTTTATGTAATTGAACCTTTGAACACAGCTTAGTGTGTTGTTGTTGTGAATTGCTGAATTGAAAGAACCCCAAAAGGATTGCCATTCAAGTATGTTTCCATCAAATTTGGGTAAATTTGGTGAAAGTTGCTGCTATTGGCACTTGAATTTGAACATATTTTCGTCTCTAAGTGAAATTTATACTCATCTGAGTCAAGTATTTCTTGCTCTATATCCTCCTCCTGTACACTTTCTCTAATATATCAAGAAATGTTTCCAACATGTCCTCTTCCGGTTTTTCTTCTAATTCACTTTGCTCGTCAAATCTTCTTAAAATCCTAGAAACTGCGCTTCTGTGTCCTGCTTGAATAGATTTAAGCTTTGAAGTCATATTCTTCTGGTCACCGTGCCAATATCGTAAAGTGGTTTTACGAAAAACTGCATATATAATAATAAAGACGTCTAAACTGTATGAATTTGTATTGATGACTAAAGTACAAGATAACATCATAAGTATATGACGTTAGAAACAATAATACTGCGTTACAGTAACGTATTCTTCTGTGTGTGATTTCCAACAGATTATATGAAAAAAATACTGTGAATTCTCATTTATCTATAATGGGATCAAGGACTATAACCCCACATTCCAACATGACACACAATCAGTCGTTTATTTGGCTTTATCTATTGAAGAATGAATTTATCAATTGAAACATAAAACATGAGGCTCCCTGGGGCCTGAATCACTAACCGGGCATTTCTGCCAAAATATAAAATGATACAATGTTGCAACCACATTATGCACTTACGACCTCGGACAACATAATGACTGCAATGACCATGGACAGCGCCACGTGGCTGTCCTCTCATGGGAAATCTTATATATCACTGGTTTAATAAAATGTCGCAGTTTTAACTTTAGTTTTGGTATTCAATTTAATTTATTGATTAGACTTATCACAAGTACATGTATTTTGAAAATACCTAATGTGTTGTGTATTAGTATTTAAAGTAATTTAAAGATAGGAGCTACCAAAGGACATATTAATAACAAGGAAGTTTGACAATAGATAAAATTTAAGCAATAATATATATTGGAAGTTTAAATCAATGTAAAATTATAGTAAACAGAAAATGGCTTTATCCAAATCTTTACAGAAAGGACAGACTGTCTTAGCATGTCAGATGTGTGAAGAAGAAAGTAAAATAAAGTGGAAATGTTTACTTTGTAATTTCTTGATGTGTGATAAATGCAGGAAAATCCATGAGAAATTCAAATCCTCTGAAGAACATAACATTGTGGACTTAAAAAACATTGCATCAGAGCAAAAACAATTGGGACAAACTCATGATTTCAATAAGATTAAATGTGACACACATACTGGGAAAATATGCTGCTTATTTTGCACAGAATGTGAAGAAGTTGTCTGCCCTTTGTGTATCACCAATGCTCACAATACACATAACATGATTGAAATAAGTGAAGCATTCAAAGTTGCTATTGAAGTTCTGAGAGATTTGCATGTTAGCACAGATGAGGATCTCACTAAATTGAAAACAAAAAGGGTGACACTTCAGAGCATAAAAACAGAAGTACAGGCCAGATATTCAGAGGAAAAACAAGAAATTGTGCACCAAGAGAAAATCTTGAATGAATTAGTTCATGAACAGTCAGAAAAACTTATAAGCAAACTGGATACAAGATTAAACAAGATTACCATAGCAATGCAAGCCGATGAACACCAGACAACCGAAGATTACAGAGCCACAGAGTCAAGAAACCAAACTTTCCTGGATACTTTAGACTCAAACAATGTGCTAAAGGTCTTTAAAACT